ACACATGCACACTGTGGGATCACAGCCACGGACAGGCCTGATGGAGCAGATGGCTTTGGGATGCCCTCAGAACACATGCAGGGTGTCCTTGGAGCAGCAGGGAGTCCTTGGAGCAGCAGGGAAGGCAGGGGATGGGTGGGGACAGCACGTGGTGCAGATGCCATCTGGGTCTGGCACAGCTCCTGCTGGGTCTCTGTGGTTTGGGCTCCGCTTTTGTTAAACGCAGCCCCAACTTTCCTGTGCTCCTTGCTCCGCCTGTTCATGGGAAGAATGGCTTTTTAGGGAAGGAAAATCATGTCTTGATCGTAATTCCTTCCTGAGCTTCTGACCAACACCAGTTCTGAAGATCCACCTGGATCCACCCCAACACCCGCTCGCTATGGATAACCAACATTTGGCAGAGAGTTTCATCCAGGAAAACAGGATAAGATGAACTATCTCCAGGTAACCAGGAAAAAAGGTATGGCAGCCATGGGTCAGCCACAACACCCTGAGCAGAGCCAGGTCCACAGTCACCTGGCTCCTCAAACAAACCCTCACAGGTGCTCAGCCCACAGAGAAACTCCTCACTTCTTACTACAAAGTCAAGTCTGAGCTTTCACAGGCTGAGGAGGCAACAGCACCGGAGAGACCGGGGAATGTGATTGTACCCCACGTTTGCTTGGTGGTGGGGAAAAGGCAGTGATGGCACATCCTGTAGCTGCTGCCTAATGTGGTGATGAAGACCCTAGATGCAGTCTGTCTAGTCTGATAAACAAACCCTGAGTGCTGAGGAAGTTTTTACTCTACTTGCAAAGTAATTGAAAAAAAACAACAAAAGAGTAAATACTTTTTGGGGCAATTTTACGTCAGACCTGAAGAAGCCCCGTTTGAGAATGATTATTTCTGGTTATTTCTTCTTAAACCTAATTTTTTACAAGGTGTCAGAGTCCTGAATACCCCACAAAAACTGCAACAGGCACAAAGAAGATCCCAGAAGAGTGGCTGGAGAGGCTCTCACCATGCTTGTCCTGTCACCCGAAGCTCCTTGAGAGCCACACTGCCATAGCTAGCACTCAGTGGCACCTTAATAATGAAAGACAAATGTGGGGATCTGCTCCTTTCTGAGGAGAAAAAAATATTTCCAGCTTTTCCCTCTGCCTCACAACTACAACAACGTGACCAGTATTCACCATGCATCCATTCCGTTGCACTACATCCAAAGAAATTCATCCAAGCGCCCCTTACTCAACCAGACTTGGAAAAACCAAGACCTTGTCACAAGAATTTCACTGTTGTAACAGATACTTTATCAAATATAGGTTGTTGTGTATGAACAGCTCCTCCACAGTGACCAAGCGAGCCCTAAAGCTTCCCGAGGCTTTGCAGGTCAGACTGAAGGCTCGAACCACGCAGCCCCTAAACTCTTCATGAGAAGCTTATCTCAAGGGAGACGGTCTATAATCAAATATAGATCCAAGAGCATGCAGCACCAGCCTTGACAGCACACCACAACTATCCCTGGGAAGGGAGCAAAGAGCACCACATCACTCACAACAGCAGCCACCTCCTGCTCCAAGCCTGACTTCCAAATGAATCAAGTGTAAGTGATCTCTGTGCTGACACAGTCAACATCAGCACTGCAGCACATCCAAACCCCTCTGAGCAACAAATTCCTTCATAAAGCAGAATTTGTAACCTGACAGCTCCTAAAATCCATCTCGTTATGCTGCCCTTCTGGAGCTTGGCTGCGTTAATAAAAGCAGCAGCACGGTCAGGGCTGGAGCCTCCCTGTCCTGCTGCCTCTGCAGGGGCGGCTCCCCAGCCAGACACGTGTGAGTCACCACACAGCTCCCATCTGATCAACGGCTCCTTTCTGGGTACACAGACAGGAAAATGATTGTCAGGGGTAAAATAATAACAGGGATCAGCACATCAGACTCACTCCACTCAATCTGCACCAGCGCCGACTAGGACAGCCCGACCCTACAGATCCCTGAGATGGACTCAATCCATAATAAATAACTGTCCTCAAGTACTCAATCCATAATAAACTGTAGCCAGGAATAACACAAGATTATGGTTTTGCTGTGTTATATATTCAATCCTATATCAGACACTCATCTATCCATGACAAGAGCATGTGAGTTCCCTGCCCGTACACTCTGCAGAGACCGTGCCCACACTTCCCCACAAACATCACCAGAAACCAGGGACAGAGGAGGGCACACGAGGAGCAGGAGAAGGCAAGGAAACCTTACTGGGACACTAGACACAGTCAGGAACTATTTCATGTGTGACTTCTGCCTCTGATACAACACCTTCAACAGCATCCATGGAAAACTTGGGGGGAACTTGCTGGCAGCAAGGCAGAAAACAAGGCAGGTTTTTGCATTAATAGCCAATACCTGATGAGTAACATCAATCTCACCCAAAAAATCTTGAACTCTTTGCTTCATTGTGGGGGTGGGGATGACAGGGAAAGCAATGCTGAGGTCACACAATTTCAGAAGGGAGACTTCTGGTTACCACCCTCCAAAGCCAACTTCCAAGGAATGTTTGAGGACAGATGTTTTTCCTGCCCAAACATGTGCAAACTGAACAAATCCAACACGGACCTACCAAGTGTCCACGAGGCTTGTCTGGAAATATTCTGAATGTTCCCAGACCTGACAGTAATGCACTGGGATCATGAAAAATGCTTGAAGACATACCATTGACAGAGCCAAGTTAAACTAATGATTCAAAGTATTAGTGATTTCCTTCCACAAACACCAAACAGCAAAACCTGCCACTGGATGAAGAAGCTCATTTCAGGAATTACTGCCCCTGAGCACCAAGGCCCTGTTCCTCAACACGAGCATCTCTGTCTGAGCACAGTAATGGCCACGTCTCACCCTCGTCTTGCCTTTGATCTCAGCCAATGTCAAGTATTTCAGAGAAAAGTAAAGAAGTTATACAGCAGAGAGCAAGAATGGAGCACTTTGGAGACAGGTGTGAAGTGATGGTTAAGTAATCACAGAGTCCCAGAATGGTTTGGGTTGGAAGGGACCTTAAAGACCATCTTGTTCCAATTCCCTGCCATGGGCAGAAACACCCTCCACTAGTCCAGGTTGCTCCAAGCCCTGTCCAACCTGGCCTGGGACACTTCCAGGGATGGGGCAGCCACAGCTTCTCTGGGCAACATTTCCTCCTTAAAGCAGCTTTTTAAAGGATTTTTTTTCTTTTCTAAAGGAATTCAAAAAATATTTCCTCTTTAAAGTTGTGAAATGGAGACCAGAGTTAAATACACCAACAAACTGCGAGGGTCAATGTTACATCATTCTTTCGGGTGAAAGCTGTGCCAGGGAGGTTGAATCTGGATTTGCAAAAGAGCCTTAAAGCACTCCAGTGTTTCTCCCTGCCATCTCTAGTGCCCAGCTTTGCATCCCTGTGGCAGATGAGCAGCTCCTTCTCAGGATACCCAGTCCCACTCCAAGCAAGCCAAGGATGGGGTGGGAAAGCAGAATGTGATTATGCATTGAGATACTCCATCATGACACGAGGCAATCAGAAAGCTAAATGAATGGCACACAGGAAAACTTCAACTACTTTCCCAACTTCCCAAATTGTGAAAACTTTGAAACTTTCCTACCAAAGTTTCAAAAACTTTCCTCCACTACTGGGTGCGTGACTCGGGGGGTTAAAACATTCCTTCGAGATTTGTATTAAGTTTCTGTAACTGAAAGATTGAAAATTGGGGGATCTGTGAGCTCCCTCATTGAAACCTGGTATTTAAAGCATCTGTGCTGACTTCCCACATGTCAGCACAGGGCTGGGAATGTTGGGTGATGCACAGCTACAGGATATGGCAGCAGGTCAGGAACTAGGGAGGCCAGGAATTCTATCAGCGGGTTTGACCTGTTTGCTGCCTGTTGAAGCAATATTCAGAGTCAGGAATAAAATTATTTCAGCTCTGCGATCTGCAAGGGATCTTTTGTGGGTACAGATCCCTCTCTGATGGTGCAGCACAGATCCCTCAGGTCCCTCTCGCTCCTTGGCTCACCTTTTGCTCAAGGAGTCGCCCCATTTATTTAATCTCATGTCATTTGTTTAATTGCCGCTGAGGGTCAAAGCACCCCATGACACAGTTGTCACAACTGAGGCCGAAAGAACCATGGCTTGAAGCAACAGCCAGAAGAGCTGCAGCCAAGAGGGCCCTCAGGAAATTAAACACCACAAGTACCACAATGCCATCACCTTCTGAGCCGCTGCTTAGGCCCAGTGCTGGGTAAAGGTGCAAGAGGTAGGAGCTCCCCCCCGGGGATGTGGAAGCTGCATCCCTGCCCTGCTGCCCCGGCCGCCCCTCGGGAGCGCAGCACATGCAAGGCAGCCACGGCGGGGACGGGCACCAGCGCGGGGCACGGAGCCCCCGACACACAGAGCACACACAGCACAGCCACGTGGGACGGGTGCACAGAGAGACAGAAGCAGGGGTGTCACCTGCACGCCCTTCCCTCATTCCTCCTGCAGCCTAACCCGATGGCGGTGACTGCCAAGAGGGTGCTGGCAACGGGGCCAAGCTTCCTCACACTTAAACGATGCCAGGATCCTTTAGAGGGGCTTCCCAAGTGCTTTGCAGCACAGGGGGGGACACAGTCCATGGGCTTCTTTCCCATCTGCCAAACTCAGCACCCTCACGTGCACCACCAGCAGCGCTGAGGGCACCATCTGCTCACAGGAACTCAGCCCGCTCTGCTCTGCAGCAGCCCCAACACCAGGAACACCTCCACAGGCAAGGACTCGGGGCACTGTGCCCTGTGAGGTGGCCCCACGCACCTCCTGGGGCACCGCTTCCCTTCTACAGCTGCTGGAGGTGTTGGCTATGGGGAGAACCCAAGAACTGGCAGAGGCATCACATCTGCTCCTGCTACACAACCAAGGGACAAGAACGAGTCTGGAAAACAAAGGCAGTGTTACCCAGAATAGCTGGGAATCGACCCAGTTCTACAGTTTAGAAAAACATCGGGTTTTTCACACCATTTTCAAGCACAAAATGTTTATTTTTCTTTTTAATCTATACAATTTCTCGGGGCTTTTAGTGCCACTGACTTTGTCAGTATACAAGGGATGGACTATACAGGCAATAGCGACATAATCTGTAGGATTCAGTGCGAGCCGAAGGGAACCCGGTGTGAGAACATATTTTCCATGTTTGCTCATGAAGCATACATACATGAATCTAAAAAACTCAAACAAATTAAAGATACATGGTACAGAGAACAGAAATCTCTTACTACAGTAAGTATTTTGCCCAGGCAGAAGACTCTGCATAATTGTCTATAAAATTCAATTCTAACTGAATTGATGGAATAATATATTCAAAGGGTACAAACAAAATAATTTAGACAGGTATAATAATGCTCGAGGTACAATAGAACTATACAATTCACAGCTTGGCAGCACAGGACATCTCTGCCCTTCAGCAGATGGTATAAAGCATCATCACCAGGGAGTGACGGCGCCTTTGGGCATGGCCACTGCTCCGGGTCCTGTGCCTGTAACGCTCCCGCAGCGCTTTCAGAGGGAAGGAGACTTACCATCGGCAAAACAGGCCTAGTGGTTACCTTGTGCCTTTAGACTGAGGTGCAGGTGGAGACTCTACGCACAGTAAAACGGGCAAAAAGCAACTTTCAAACAGGAGAGAGGTGTCCGTGCCACCTGGAGCGCAAACTTTGGTAAAAATAAAAGTAAATAAATAAATTTAAAAAAAAAAAAAAAAAAAAATTCCATATGAAAGGTGGTGAGACTCCAAACCTGAAGTGTCAGATATGAGAAAGAACAGCTTCATATTCTGTTCTGTTTCAGCACGAACTCTGTCAGTGGCCAGACACCACCCTGAGCCTTGGTGGCCGAACCGGAGCCAGAGCCCGTGCGAGCGCTGTACTTACACGGGTCTGACAGTCCCCTGGAGATATGTTCTCCTACGATCAAGAGTTCCACTAGTTTTCTTCACTTATGGAACATGCATGAGCTTGTAATTTAACTGAATTATAAAAGCCCAGATAGGAAAAGGAAATTAAATCCAATGTGCTGCTGATCCAGAGGAAAACAGCATTTTTGCTGCCTGTTACTGCAGTAAGCCGCCTTTACAACGACTTTACCACAGGCTGGGGAGGAGAACGGATTGCACTGCCTGAAGCTATTCCCTGTCCTTGTATGCACTTTCCTTGGATCACTCTGTAAATACTCCTACATTACAATGTGCACTTCACTACTCCTTGTACAAACACAAACAGTTTTATGATCAGTGCGTCAAACAAACGTGTCGAACAAACCTCACCTCACAATTCTTTTTTTTTTTTAAAAGCTTCAGAAATGAAAATTCAACCCGTGAATAAAAACGAAAGCATTTACAGCAAAATTAAGCCGATGAGGAATGTCAACTGTAAACCTGCAATATCTTTGCAAATAAAAAGAACTTCAACTGGCAAGCAGTAAATAAAATACACCTTTCAAATAATTGTACATCTCTTTCCAGCTGGGACTGGAAAGCTGAGATTCAAGGCACTGAAGTCCTGCAGGGTTAGTACAATTTGCAAGTCATCAATTCAAGTACATCAACATTAAGGATCGCAAGTGTGAAACAGAACACAAGGAATAAAGTGTCTTCAGCAATGGAACAGAAGCAGATATTGCCATAAGCACAAACGATCTGTCGTGACGCCGCCTCACAGTGATTGCTGACGCGGGGTATGGCTGTGCGCTCGCGGGCCCCGCCCCGGCCCACACGGATCATCCACAGAGCAAACACTCCACGTGACGGCGTCAAAATCACCAGGACCCATGGCAGGATCACCCGTGGCAAGGTCACCCACTGACAGGGTCACCCGTGGCAGGGTCACCCATGCAAGGTCACCCACGGCAAGGTCACCCCCCGACAGGGTTACCCGTGACAGGGTGCCCATGGCGAGGTCACTCATTGCAGGGTTACCTGTGGCAGGGTCCCCACGGCCAGATCCCCCCTGGCAGGATGCCCGTGGCAGGGTCCCCAGGGCCAGGCCGCCCCGCTAGGTCATGCGCAGCCGCGGGCCGGGCGCGCGGGCGGGCGGGCGCTGCAGCGGCACCGGGTACATCCGCAGGCAGCTCCTGCTGAGGGGAGAGAACCGCACGATGCCGGGACCCCCGACCAGCCCGGGCTGCGCCATCGGCCCCGGCCACGGCACCCCGTACACGGGGCTGGGGAAAACTCCTCCGTACTGACAGAGAGGCATCACATACGGTGTCACCGCGCCAGCAAGGGCGGGCCCTGGCACAGGCACTGGCAGGGATGGTGGAGCTCCAGGAGCTAATCCTGTGGGCATGGGGCAAGCCACCGGAACAGGGCACTTGCTCCCCAGTCCTGTCCTTACCGAATTTACCTACAAAAAGAGAAATACAAGAAGCGTCGCTACAGAGCTCCTCTTCCCCCCTGCCACGGGCAGTGACACCGAGCCCAGACACACATGTCCATGGTGGTACTGCTCCCCCATGGCGTGGCACGGGCTGCCAGCTGGGGGCACAGGCACAAGGGTGTCACAGTGTCCTTGGGCCTTTATTTTGGGTTCATTTCTTTTTTTCCTTTTATATTTTTGGTGGTGGATTGGGTTGGGTTTGTTTTGGTTTTTGGTTGTTTTTTTTTTTTCTTTTTAAAGGCATAAAATTTGGAAATTAATAGGAAAGATTGATATGGGGCAGAGGGGAAAGTTATCTGATTATAACCTCGCTCTTCAAGAAGGCAGGAAGCATCACTAAACAAGTGAGGATGAACACCATAAAAAGTCACAAACAACCTCGCATGTCCAAAGGAACTCAAGTATCTTTTTTCTTGTGCATAGAAGTAAATGAACTGCACTAAGTGCAGAATTAACCCAAATCTCACACGCTTACGTGAGACAAGCCTCAGAAGAGGCTTTCTCACGCCTCAGAAGAGGCTTAAAAATTCTAGCCCATATTTCTGTACAAAATTGTTTCATCTGGCCCCAGAGAACTGAGGAGAGGAAGGAGACCTGCCAGGGTGGCAAAACCAGCGAGGGCACAGCGGGGCTGCTCTGCCTCAGGCGCTGCCACAACCAATTCCAGCCGGTTTTCTGGAATTCTATTAACACCCACTACAATTATTCAGCTTTTGCATGCAAGGGGCAGAGAAAGAGCTCTCTCTCAATATGGGATGGCAGAGCTTTCCAGATGACACACTCCATCCTGCACAATACCATGGGAACTGCCGTTATCCCAAACATTCACATTTCATTATGTTTTTAATGTCACAGAATTTACAACTCCCTGTGGGGTTCCCAGCACGCCAGCACCTATTTGTGGCATAGGAAAAAGGGGTGTTACTTAATTCTGGGAATCTCCCACCAATGTGATATTTTACATTCAATTGATAAAATTGGCATGAAGGTGAAATTTCAACAGAAAAAATGAATATACGTATAAGGCTGTGTGGAATGCTTACTCCATGCTTCTGATTTTAATTTCTCTTCTCAATTAACAATAAAAATGGCAATGTCCCCCTGGGATTTTCTGCTTTGGGGCATGAAACTCTGCTCCAAGGGCAATTTTAGAAAAATACAGAAGTATCTGATACCCTTCTTCACTTCCTTTCATCTGAAACCTGAATCTGATGGTGAACGTCGAACTGAAAGAGATGCCTCAGTGTAAGGAATTTGACATCACTGAAGTGTAAAACCCCACCAAAATTAACAACAGACACCAAAGAACAAGAAACAGAGGAACCAGGGACATATTTTTAAGACCAGCACACTTCTTTAAGCTGTTATTAAACTCTTGTTTTAACATCCTCAAAATCATGGTTTCCACCAAGCTAAACACCTGTGAGTGATGTACCTAACCAAAATACAGATTTTGGACAACGCTCTCAGGCACGTGGTGGGATTGTTGGGGGGTGTCTTGTGCTGGGCCAGGAGTTGGATTTGATGATCTTTGATGGCCCCTTCCAACTCAGGACATTCTATGGTTCCAGGACAGCATTTCTTACACTAGCAACAGATTATTTATTCAGTGGCATTGAAAATGTGAGGTGACATTTTCAGTGGCCCTATTTAAAAATTAACTTGAAAAACATCATTTCCAGCTCTTTTAAAGTACTGAGAAATCTGACTCACTCCAATTCAAGCTTCTGAACTTTCTCCTTCTCAGCTGAATTCCTCAGCAAAGCAGCAGCTGGATTTAAGGCTGTGTATGTGCTACTGGGAATAAAATTGTGTCATGCTCCAAACCCACCATTACACATACTCATTCAACTTGATAATGTCATGACAAATGTATATTAATGACTTAAGTTTTCTTCCTCTACCTTCATCCCATGCTTCAAGGGAGCTAAATGCACACTTTAGGAGGCACAACATCTGGCTCTTGTGTCTTCCCCTGGGTAGGAGTCTCTTGGTCATGGCCTCTATTTAACCATCACCTTTTAACCAGTTCTGATGACTCAACACTGATGGAGGCCCACACAACCCATTGAGTCCTGCATGGAGATGCTGACTGAAACACCAAAATTAACATGTGCCAAAAGAGTCCTCAAAGTAGCACAAGGAGCTGTGGATTTCCCGGCTCCAGGAAAGCCAGGAGACTTGTCCCAAAGACAAGTCCCTTTGCTTATACAGGTTGAAGGGAAGAAGATGGACATTCAGATGGTGATGAATGAGGTGCGTTCATCACCTACATGGGGTCAGATCTCAGCTGTGAACAGGACTAGCTCAGCATTTCAAGTCAGCCAGGCTGGTGTTTAACAAGATGCACCGAGGGAAGGCCCTGGGATTCCTGGTCAGAGCCCTGTCAATGGTCAGAGTGGTCACCTGAGCACCAGCCTGAGAGCTGCCGGGGCTGGAGAGTCCCCAGTGCAGCTGTGAGCCTGTGGGTTCTCCCATCTCTCATCAGCTGGCCAGTTCTGGGCTGAAAGGACATGTCTGGTATCCTTGGCTCCCTGCTGGCCCAAGGCACCTCTCCCCTGGGCCACTCCCTTGTCAGTTCTGCAAGTTTGCTGGAGGCTGCCCAGGGTGGAGTCACTGCCCCTGAAGGGATTAACAGATGTGTGGATGTGGCATTTGGGAACATGGGTTAGTGGTGGCCTTGGCAGTGCTGGGGGAATGCTTGGACTCAGTGGTGTCAGAGGGCTTTTCCAGCCTCAGTGACTCTGGTTCTATGAAAGGTGCCAGTTCTGGCACAGGCTGTTGATTCTACAGTGTGCACCAGCTACACCCACTATATCCCAGGGAGCCAAGGCTTCGGCTTCCAGTGTGGCTTCTGGCTTTGGCATTCTCCCCACAGCTTGAAGACATGGCTGTGAATGGTTTCTGAAGTTATCTTGGCAATTGAAAACAAGCAGTACAATATCAGAGCACAGCATCCAGCTTAAGGAACCCATGTTGAGAGACCACTGACATACAAAGATCCTTGGAGCTGTCCCCACAGTCACACAGGACACGTCTTTGGGGGTTATTTAGAATAAAATAACTCCTGAAGGAGTGGAAAGCAGAACTGGTCTTCTCCCTTTCTGATTCAGCTTTAGACTCTATAACACCAGCAATGAGGAATGCCACAGATTCCATGGCTTAGCCTACTATGGATGGCATGACTTCATTTTTCATGTTACAATATTCACGTCCTCCTGTTTGTTCTGCTGCATGTCAAGGCCTAGCAGAGTCAGCTGCCCTGGCCTTAAGGAGGCTGATAAGGCCAACAGTCCCAAAACCAATAAATTTAACAACTGCTCTGCAAAATTTACATCTGACATCACCATGTAAAAAGTCTGTCTGCCAGAGATATTTAATAGGGATTTCTCTACTTTTTTTTTTTTTTAAGGAAGAAAGACTGGGTTGATGTCCTTTAGTCATAGAATCAATCACAGAATGGTTTGGGTTGGAAGGGACCTTACAGCTCATCTCATTCCAGACCTCCTGCCATGGGCAGGGACACCTTCCACTAGTCCAGGTTGCTCCAAGCCCTGTCCAACCTGGCCTTGGACACTTCCAGGGATGGGGCAGCCACAGCTTCTCTGGGCAACCTGTGCCAGGGCCTCACCATCCTCACATGGAAGAATCTCTTCCCAATATCCCATCTATCCCTGCCCTCTGGCAGTGGGAAGCCATTCCCTGTGTCCTGTCCCTCCATCCCTTGTCCCCAGTCCCTCTCCAGTTCTCCTGGAGCCCCTTTAGGCTCTGGAAGGGGCTCTCAGCTCTCCCTGGAGCCTTCTCTTCTCCAGGTGAACCCCCCCAGCTCTCCCAGCCTGGCTCCAGAGCAGAGGGGCTCCAGCCCTGGGAGCATCTCCGTGGCCTCCTCTGGACTCACTCCAAGTCCCTCTCGTGCTGAGGCCCCAGCCCTGCACACACTCTTGGGGGGATCTCAGGGGGGCAGAGTACCCTCTGTGACATGCGTAGGAAGGGAAGTTCCTCCCCTGCTCTCCCCCTCTACATATCCATTAACCTCCTCTGTAGAAGCAATAAACTTACTGAACCAACACCTAACAGGGGCACCTTTGCCCACTGCCCTCTCCCCTCTGCTCAGGCCACCTCCCCACCTGCCCTTCCCCAGCTCTGCCTGCACTGGCAAACCTCTGCCCTGTAGGTACCAGCCACCTCTCCTTCCTGCTTCCCAACACCTGCCTTCTCCTGCCAGTCTTCCCTTTGCACCAAATAATCACACAGACTCATTTAGAAAACAAGAATAATACACACACAGAGGAGAACATACAGGAAAACACTGGTAAAAATGAAACAAACCCCACAGGACAAAGACTCAAGTAGTTTAAAAACCCCAAATCTGTTCTTTGGACTTGTTTTAATTCTCTACCTTGTTCTTGTGCCTCACCAGGCAAGCTCCAAAGTGCCACCTCAGTGATACTCACAGCCCCTGTACTGTCAAATACACAGCCAAGAGTTGGGTATGACTCACGAACACCATAAATACTTCTGGGTTTATATTGGAATAGAGGAAACCAGGTAATTCTGCTGTGAAAGCTGACTGTAACTATCACAGCCCACCTAAAAAGTCAGGATTTAGAATATTTTTCTTTTGATGGCTACCCCATTAGTATTAGTGTTTTACTTCTGTATAGACCAGCTACCACTGAAACAAAACTGAGTGGCAGGGCAGAGTCACAGCTGGCTGCCAACATGAGCAGGCAAGAATGCCAATCCACCTCTTTTATCACTTTTGCCCAGTTTGTTGAAAACCTGAAGTTATTAGGTGCTCCTGAATATTTGTGTTTATGCTTTTCCAAGTTCCTGGAAAGTCATTCTGACATTCAGCCCAAGCTTTAAACACAGACTCATTTTTTACTATTCTTCCAACCCAAGAGAGACAGAGGATACAGTAAAGGTGGCACTAGTCCTCCTGCTTGGTTTTGTCATCCGTGCCCACCTCCAGCTCCCTGGCAGTCAGCCCATGGAGCCCAGAGTCAGGAAATGCCAGCAGATGTGCAGATGTTACCGACGGTGTCCAAGCCCCCAGCACACGTCACCCACTGACACAGCTCTGTGTGTTCACAGAAACAGCCTCACCATGCACTGGGAACATGTTTACACCTTTTTTTGGGGGGTAATATTTTTGCCTTTTAAAACCCATGGAGCTCCAGAACAGCATGAAGAATAGAAAACATTTTTGGCAAGCCCTTCATTCCCAGGCATCTTTAAATAGTGCCTGTAAGTACCCAATATTCAGTATATGTGCACAGAAGGCAGCTCACATTCCTAAGCATATTCCTTGACCAATGCCAACCAGAATTACCTGTAAAAAAGGATTATTACACCACATCTTCACACAGATGACAAAGACAGAAATCACCACTATCAGGCAGTTTGACTTCAATTCTTTCTAACATCTCCTATTACAATTCAAACTACTGCTGATGAGACTCTACCTGCATTTCCATGCTTCCTTAAAACATTTGGGAAGGAACATTTCAGTGCTCCTGTGACACAACTGGATGCCTGAAGTTCCACCCCCCCCCCAGCAAACTTCTGACCAGATTTGCAGCCAAACTTCCACAGAAACAAAGCAGAATATAAAGTTTTGCTTTGTATCCCAATTATTTCATTGCTGCCTACACTTCTGATGACAAAAAATAAAACCACTTACTCTTATTAAGCACACCATCAGTTTCTCTTCTGAGCTATTTCCAGCCTTCACTTTGTTAAAAAATCATATAAAATATTACATTCACAGCAAACAATTTGCTGCTCGTGGTAGAAGCATCTCAGGTAAATCAGAGACAACTCAGGAAAGAGAGTCTTCTGGTTCCAGGGGGAAAGAGAAGACTTGAAGAAAGACACACAGCTGCCCTGCTTATTAATGACAGTGGGTGGACAGTAAAAGAAAATAATAAATTGAAAAATACATTTTTCTATTTAAATGTATAGTTAATATTTTATATATATAATTTTTTTTAAAAATGTATTTTGCATCATGGGACAACTCACTTCACTCCTACCCCTTATGAAAACCCTTCAAGGAGGTATCTCTCTGTCCAATAACCCCCAGAGACAATGCAGAAGCAAGATACAAATACTGCTGCCCCCAGCCCCTCATTTCTGACCATCACACAGGACCAGCGACAGCTTTTCTCAAAACCAATCCCCACATGAGGAGATGAGACAACCTGCCCTAACAGCTTCCTGCTATTTATTCCAGTTGAAAAAAAAACCACAAAAGGCATAAGAATCCCTATGTTTCCTATTTATCCAGCCTTTATTTCCAACATAAAACCTTACTATAACTTTCTCTAATGGGTTGGGAATCTGCTTAGTGCTCCTTATTCTTTTGTTGCAAAGGCATTTTTGATCAAAAGAGGTGACAAATGATGGTGTTACCAGATGGACTGAGGAAGTACAGCCTGAGTTTCCCCTTCTCCCTCTTGGAAAGCTATTTTTCCCCATCCTTTATGTTATTTCCCAAGTTCATTTTGTCCTTCCAGAGGACGCAGCTGTGATTCAGCAGAGGTGTAACATCTCCTCATGGGGCTCATCCCTCTGACCACTGACACACAGGTCGCTTGTCTGGTTGTGTCACACTATTCCCTTCCTCCTCTTTTGGCCACTTCTCTCCCAACACCACACAGCCCTCTCCTCCCTCAACTTCAGTTTCCCCTTTAGGTTGGAATTCAAAGGGTACAAACAGCAGAACGATGCTCAACTCCCGAACCAACTCTTGTCAAAGTCCTTGATATCATCCTACTGCCCCATTTTCTGTCACTCACAGCATTCTGTGCCATCTTCATGGCCAAAACACCCAATAAAACCCACACCAGGAATGTTTGCCATCTGCCCTTGCATCTCTGTTGCAGCCACCGTGGTCCTTATGGGGGCTTCATGCCCCAAACCATCCCAGGCATCACCCACACCAGGGCTCCAAGCAACTCCTCTAAGCAACAAGGAATGATGTGAAATGAAGAGCAGGGAATCCCAACCTCTCCATGCTCTTGGCAAATCACCTCCAAAAGACTTCAGTCAGCCCTGTGGATTCCCTGGAACAACTGCCGTGGTTGAGAGAGACAAAAACCCTCTAAGATCAGTGTCCTGAGAGAGGGACATTCCTGCTGCTCTCTCAGTGATATTCTGCCTTCCCCACAGGCTTTGAGACAGAGACACCAAGACTGCAGGAGGTAAAACTAACTCTAAATTGATATTAATGAGTGATTTAAATAAGAAAAATAACCACTCACTTTTCCACAGTTACAAGAGGGCAAAACACCCACATCGAATACTTCAAACTGCTGCAGGAGTCTCGGGGGAAAGACACCAAAACACCACAAAAAGCACATCAAAAGAAGGTAAGAAGTGACTTCACAGAGCAAAATCTGTGCCCTCACCATCACTCTCTATAAATCTTCAAGTATATGTAACTCTGGAGCCAGTTAAACCATTACTACGTAGAAGGATTATTTACTTTTCGCCCACTTTGGCAACTAAGAATTGAAATTAAATTGCTTAATAAATTTGCACAAACGTTTTTCCCTGTGCAGTCAGTGACCCAATCGACTCAGGAACGTGCAGGTCCCAAAGCAGAGGCACTGGAGCAGTTCCTCCTTGGCACATCTCACCTCACGAACAACTACAGAGCTACCAGTGCTACACGGGTTTTTTTTCCTTCTACATGCCAAAAAAGACAATGGTTTACTATCCAGATCTAGTTCTCTCGCTTTTAAGGGATTACAAAGCAGCTCCTCACTGTTATTTTCCTCTACTTTGGCTCAATTTTTCATTTTTCAAAAAAAACAAAGCCAGCAAAACTTATTAGTCAAACAACCCCCAGTTGTGAGGAGAAGGAAGACATCTGGAAACCCAGGCCAGGGTGGGACAGAATGGTAAACTGGGGTTCTGGATGTGCACTCATTCCTTTTTTTGCCTCCCTCTGTATCACCCCTCAGCCATGAAAACCAGCACTGAACACACACACATTGCAATGCCTTTGTCCTGCTACTGAATATCCGAGGGGAGGAACATGTGCCTATTTGCTGTAGGATACTTTGACAGCATTTCTGAGGGTGGTATTGTCACGGTGCCTGGTACAACAAGCAAGGGTCAGCACACACATCCAGCTGTCCCCTCTCTCAGCCCAGTACTCACTCCAATTCCACTCAAACAACGGCTCACAATCCCCAAGCCACCAGCTACTGTTCTGTTGAAGGAAGGTTAATATTAAACATCAAAAAGAAGAAAACTTTTAGTAAGTTGAAACTGAAGTTGAGCAACAGGTGGTAATGATATGAGTATTGCTGTGTATCATTGTTAATAAGCAGCTTGGAATTTAAAAATATATATTTTATATATATATATATGTATATATATATATACTGCAGCCCACGTATCCCTTAAGATTATTCCAAAAGACGATTTTAAAAAAAAATCGGATTAGTACTGAATGAAAAGAGCTGGACATTTATAGGAAGCATCTATCTGGAGTAATTTTAGTCTATGTCCTCCTCCACATCTGAGTTCTGAAAAGGCTGTCAGACACATAGCAAAAGGTATGTCCTTCAAGGAGGGCCACTTACTCCACATGTCTCATTCTGTGTTTGCATGGGGTTAGCCTTTGGCTCCATGTCTTGCCTTTTTTGGTTCTGCTTCAGTTGGTTTAAAGAAGGTTTTGTCTGTGCAGCTCCAACAGTTTTGCTCGTCCACTGGTCCACCAGCTTGTGCAGGTCATCTGTGAACGTCCCTTTCTTGTTGTTACTGTTGTTGGCCTGAACCTGCAGCGTCGACTGCGGGAGGGGCTCAGGACACGTCACCAGGCTGTTGGTCGAGGATCCTGGAAAATCACACAGAGAGAACTGACAATGACGTCTCTGCCTCAGCTCTGCAGCTCAAACACCTTCTCAGCTACTGCCACTCCAATGGTGGCTTTTCAGACTTTTAACCCTCCCCCTCCTGGCTACAGAACTCCTTTGCTTAAAGAAATGGTCCAAGTCCAATGGGTCTGTATTTTCTATCACATCATGTTACCTTGGCCGCTAACGTCTCTCTGGGGAAATTAAGGACAGGGAGAGAAGCCAGGAATGCAGCCCAGTAACGCTGCCATCCCGAGGCAGACAACACCTTATCAGAGACTACCACGAGAAAGTGGGAGGTGGGATGTATTGCTAAAACTGCAGGCATCCATAAAATTGATTTACCATTTATTTTGCTTGCATAAGTTTACTGTCCTCCTGGAAAAATGTAATTGTTGCAGAGGTTACAGGTAGGACTGGGTCCTGTGCCTCAAAGGCTCTGGGAACCCACCATCTCTCTCGATGACATCGGGACCATTTATTTGGCCACCTGCATATTTTTGGGGAAAAAACCCTATCGGGACCACGAATGTATAGAAGACAAAGGAGAGAGAACATAGTGGGGGGTGAATTTTTGAGACAAAGATAAAGAACTTTTGGTATAGATAAAAGCAGTCAGGAAGAGTATTGACAGAGGTTTAAGTTTATTTGTTGACTAGGGAAGAAAATTTTCTGTGCTTTTCCTGTGTTGGTAACTACAACTCTGACACAGCAAGCTCAGCAGGGAACTGCGACTGAAGGAGCCTGAATCTGACCTAAGCAGGAAATGTAAAGTAACTTTTCAGCTAACATATTTGAGATAGCTAAAGATTGGAAAAAAAGACCATCTCTCCAAGCAAAAAGTTCACAGAACTGTAGTATGATGATTATATGAGCAAACATGAACATTCAGTCTTCTTTTCTCTGTTAATCAGTTACCAGCCAATGAAACCGAGTCCACTAATTAGTCCTACGGTTATATAGAATACATTAATAACCTTTAAATGATCATGCATTCAACCTGCAACGTCACTTCTAAGTGGATACTGCTCAATCCCTTTTCCTTTACTTGGGGGAAAGTGAGAAAAATAAGGCTTTTGAGAGAAAAGCTCTTCAATTGGTGTTTAATATTTCATGCAGCTCAAGGGGGCCGGGATGGTTTTAAGCTATCAATTCCTCCAGCAGAGAACTGCAGTCATATAAAGGTGTGTATTTCAGAGACAAACACTGAACCCAGTTTCCTGGCCGCATGCGTGCACGTCTCACACACACACAGAACACCACGACTCTCTTGCAGCATGCGAGGTTCCCAAGACATCACAGCACATGCATTAGTCTCAAAAGTACCACAATTTATATTTCTCGTATAAGTGCATCAGCTCTAGTTATTAAACAACTAGCTTTTAGTAAAAAATAATAATATAAAAAAGCAAAGAACATCCCATGCCATGAAGGAAATACTGAGAAACAAAAATGGGATAGTTACTACTACTGTGATCTTTGCCTAGACATAGTCGTTTCAAGGTGGACCCTACAAGGTAAAACAATACAAGACACACAGAATTAGGTAAGACTAAACACAACGAATTGGACGGACAAGCTTCTGTACTTTTAAGCAATCGAAAAGTAGTTATTATGCAAGAAAGGACAGACAAAGTCAGCAGTTCAGGTGAGTAAAGGAAGCCTAAATAACTGGACAGCTCAAACCTTTCTTAATGTGCAGCCATTCAGAAGCTTTGGAAAGTACCACAGCATGCCAAAAGCAAGGGCTCGTGACTTAAAGATGCATTTGTTTGGGTTTTGGTTCTTTTTTTTTTTTTTTTTTTTTTTTTTTGGTTGTTTGTTTTTTTCTTTTCCTTTTTTTTTTTTTTCCCAAATCGCCTTGGCTTCCTAATAGGAGGTTTTGATTCGTTAGCTATTAATGCAGGAAATGATGTCAATTCAGTTTGTGATTGGAGGCCAAAAATGCTTTCAGGAACAAGTCAAGCTAGTCTGGCTGCAAAGACAAACCATAAAACAACCCTAAAACTCCTGTTTTACAAGTCCAAAAAGATACATTGTTCTGCAGGTCTGAGGCCAATTGTTTCCAAATATTTTATTTGGTAGGATTTGTGTCTAAATGTGAGATTCTGAACTTCAATTGAACGGAACTGTGAATGAGTTTCCCTTATGCCTTGTCCAAGTGCAGAAAAATAATCCAGCAGAGTAGCTGAGTTTTAATTTATCTTAACTATGTGGTTTTTTTAATTATTATCTCGTTCCATCCTTCATCGTGATTTTACACAGTCTTTTGACAGATAGCAGAGTGCCAAAGTATGCCGAGACCCCGACTCGACTGTCAGATCTTGCCAGACATCGGCACCGTTGCTATTTGGGTGCCAAATTTCCTGAAAGGTATTTTGGACTTGGTAAGAAAAATATTGTTATGGTATGGGAGGAGATGAGTGTCTGACATGGGCTATGGAGAGTTCGTCGGGAAGAAGCACTTGAAAACATGAGCAAAATCAGAGTGGGGTAAAAAAGTAAGGTAGAGGATGGATGTGCTTTTTCTCTAGAGTAAACAGTGGAGGTATTCGATGTTACTGTGCCAGAAATAAAGATTTAAACTCAGAGATTGCAGGTCCAGGCTGACACAGGCCCTGAATGAGTCTTCAGAGGAGAAAGAAGAGATGTCAGTCAGAGACTGAGGAAGAGAAAGTAAAGAAACAACGGAGGAAGTAAGGGAGATGTTTGTGCTTGAATATGGGTGGCATGAGGAGGAACAGAGAATTGCTTTGAAAGAATTTCTTATTATTTCATATAGTTCATATAGGTTTCTATCCTGGGAAAATCAGAAGGACAAGACTGCAGCAATGCAAGCATGACCATGTTTAGTTCTCACCTCAAAGCCCAGATAACAAACACAGTCACATTCACAACTCAACCATCTGTGTTGTATTCTTAAATCTTTTCCCCTCTTTTCCCTCAGATATACCTTACCTTGCCTATCCCAAAGTTAGCTACCAACTCCCATTATGGAAAGAACTCCCATGATGGAACTGGCCGTGGCAGCAATCCTAGGAGGTTATTTCCTGCAGCAAAGGCAGTACTTACACAATATGAATGCGAATGGAAAGCAACTGCCTGCGAGAAATAAAAGCAGGCAGCTGACTGCAGTACGTGCTCAAATGCATGTAAAAATGTTTTAATCACCAGCCCCTCCACTTCCTGCACACCCAGGCACAGGTTTCCCTGCACCTCAGGTGCCAAATCTGCCCCAGGGCCTCCAGGCTCGTGGGGAAGTGACGGAGAGCGGCGACACTTGACAGACTCACAAAACACTGTGTGAGGAGAGTTGGCTTCAAGGAAAATATCCCAGGAGAGTCGGTCACCATAAAGAGAGCTGCTCCTTCCAAGCAGCATCACTCCAGCGTGGGGCCTGAGACGGGAAACCTTCCCTAAGTGGTGATACAGCCTGAAGCAGGGACTGACAGTCATCAGCTACAGCAGGTTTTGAATTCAAACTCAATTAAAAATTCACTTTGTAGACCTAATTCACCAGATTAATTGTATTACTGCTAAAATCAAGGTGTTTAAGAACTGTAAAGTTAGGAGATGAATCATAATTAAGACTTAATGTAAGACTGTGAAAGTTCAACAGAGTGTTTTACCTCCAATTCCAGATTTCTTATGTGAGGAATTAAATAGCTATTATATCATACAGGACAGAAAAAAATCCCCTGTCCCATATTTGCACTCTAACAGCTGCCAAAAAGCTGGAAAGCTACAAAAAAATGGAAATGGCAATAAACTGCTAGGCCATTTCCATAATTGCATATGCACATACAATATAGGAATTGCTACAGACCTGACAAAAACTGCTTTACACAAGATTCCAAGCCTAAGCCAAATGGAGCTTTGAAAATTCCTCTCACAATCAGCAGAAACTCTTCCCTAGGACGCCCTTGCAATTTAACCCAGGAAAGGAATTCAGGCTAAAATTATGTTGGAGCCCATTGAAAATATTTTATTTCATGAAATGTATGAAGGAGAAATCAATATTGGACATGGGGAACAGACCAAAAGGTCCTGGAGAACACTGTAAAAGCGTTCAAGTTTGATGGATCTTATAACCAGAGCAAGACACTTGTGATACTGCCTTTAATGCATCTGAACATTTATTTTTCAAGTTGCTGCTGACTTTTCTGCTAATGCAGCAAGAGGTCTCCTGATGGAATATCCCACCTCCCCAAAGGGCTGGTTTTCCTTATTCAAACATACAGATTCAGAGCATTTCTGAAAATCCAGCACAATCTTTCCCAACAGCTCTCAAACAAAAAATTCCCAGGGAAACCTCGATTTGTGAATAGTCCCAGGACTGCCTGGATATGCCCCTGAGCTGCTGGTGCTGGATGGCCACGTCTCAGCCCTGCACACCCGGCACAGGTCCTCCCTGCTCAAGCACCCAGATCATGGAACTCTACCTAGAATGGGTTGGGTTGGAAGAGACCTTAAAGATCATCCCATTCCAAACTTCCTGCCATGGGCAGGGACACCTTCCACTAGCCCAGGTTGCTCCAAGCCCCGTCCAACCTGGCCTTGGACACTTCCAGGGCATGGATGCAAACATGCTTAGTGCCTAGTCCAAATACTTGGTTTGCCTGCCTGCTGGGTCAACTGACATCCCTTCCAGAGAAACATGAGCCAGCTGGCATTTCCATCATTTTCATCTTCAAATAATAGAATCAAAGGATGGTTTGGGTTGGAAGGGACCTTTAAAGGCCCATCTCATTCCAACCCTGACATGGGCAGAGACATCTTCCACTAGACCAGGCTGCTCCAAGCCCCTTCCAACCTGGCCTTCCTCAAGCACTAATTTTCCTGAGGCCCCTGGTCACAGCTGCTCTGGATACCAGCTCAACAGAACCACCAGCTGCACGTCCTTCCAGCCCCATCCCCATTCCTGCACACACACACATCACCAGCCTGTTGGGCTCACTGGGAAAACAGCTGGTATAACCTCCTGCCCCACCAGAACCTGCCCACAGCTCAGCCCTGGGCCCTGTCTGGCACCCCAAGTGAGAGGCAGCACTGGAAACCAGGCTGTGCTCTCAGGATTTGAATCTGCTCAGTGGTGACTCTGGATTGACGTGCCAGGGTTAGATGCCTGAAACGTGGTCCATCTCCTGGTGTGATTCAGGAATGGGGGAGTGCAAACCTCCTCCTGAGCACGGCGCCCAGAAGAACCCGAGAGAGCAGATGGGCTGAGAACAGAAAGCAATTAGTCATGCTGAGTTGTTTAAGCACCAGGAAACTTCACCATTTGAAGGATTTACATATTCCCTTGGTTTCATTCACAATATCCATGCACCCAAACATTTTTAATACGCTAGTTTTTAATTGCCATCTCCCAGTCTTTTTAGATCCTACTGAACAGTAATTCCGTGGAAGATTCACGAAACGACTTCTGGCAATTACATGTGCAGAGGAAGAAGTTACTGTGGCCGTTGTAACACCAAATGGGAACATCTGAGAACTGAGAATTCCCCTCAGGTTCTCAGAAAAAATCCCGGAATGCAAAATTGTCTCACGACTTCAGGAGTTGTTAAAAACTTACATGACAATAAATTCAGTAAATGTCAGTTTTCAAGAACCTGAGTGCTTGGGCTTTCAGGGAGCTCAAACAAACAAACAAAAAAATCAAGATTATTTTTTAGAATACTGTTTACTCGTAAAATCAGGAGGAGTGTATTTGAGTGGTCTTGTGCCTTTGATCTGAACCATTTGGAGAGTGATGAGCAATGCAGAACTCCAATATTAATGCAAACCCACAGTTATTTAACCAAACACTTCCTCAAAAACGTTATCAGCCTTTCTGAGGTTATATGTAAGTGGCCTATAGTACCTGTTCAGCACAACATATCTTTATTGTACAAGCAAAATCCGTTTGCCTAAAAAGCAGCATCTACAATTGGGTAAAAAAGTCTTAATTTTTTAATTAAATAGCTTGATAGCATTTGGTGGAATTGCCAATTACTTTAGAAGTCAGACGAATAGGGTACAAATAGAAGGTGCACAGTTATTTGAGACAGAACTCCTGGATCCTAACAATCCATTTCCAAGTATCTAAAAATCTGATATTGCTTTTTACTTATTTATGCTTTGATGAACTGCTAATTGACTTCATCTCTGAGGTCACATAAGGTCATAAGAAAATAAACTGAGTCAAGTGCTTCAGCCAGATCAGCTTACACAAAAAGGTGATGGGACTCTCCCTTGGAGTAACCAGATCTTCTTGCTGCTATGAGTACATCAAAAATTGCTCACTTAGAGTAATTAAAGTGACATGAGGAAAAGCCCACCTAGGATACAGATTTGGAAAGAACTAGCTGGAGCACTGTTGTCTCAGCATTTCCACATGCAAAGAGCGGGGAAAAAAAATTAAAGAAAATAGAGTGGATATAAACAGTACTGTATATTGTGTTAATACAGCCCTTGTATGGAAGTTATACCCTCCAGTGACCTTCTAGAACTGTATCAGCTTGCTACATGCATGTCTTCAGAGTCCAAACATGTGTGAAAGAGACCATTCGTCTACAGAAGGATGGATTTCGTTTTGTTGTCGCTGGAACCGGGACAGCAGACATGTATATTTGCCACATTGCAAATAAAATTACTTCAACAGAAATCACATAAAGTACAAAAGCTTTGGTAAGTCCAGGGTAAAATTTACCATCAGGCTATATATAATAAATGATGAGATCTTCCACACATGCTTTTGGTGCCCAGGCACGAGCCAAAAGCAGTGCAAAAAAAGCTTTCATATGAAAAAATTAATATAAATAAGGTGTGTTCATGATGATTACTTAAAAGAAAGCGAAAAAGAAAGAAAAGATGTTTCAGAAAAAGGGGCATCCTGCCAAACATATTAGAGATATAAACCATGGAATTGGAAAAAGGGAGTAAAAGAAAGATGGACTGTGATAAAATACAAAAGAACAAATACAAACAGATGGACAAAGACACAGGTCCACTGAGGAATCTGGTACGAGGTTTGCTACTAGATTTATAGGTCACTCTCTCAGACGTTTGGTGGAAAACCGTCCAGCCTGCAAATGAATATAAAGGGAAGAAAACAAAGACACTTATAAAGTACAAGTAGCTGTGATCAGATGTCCTAAACCATCAGTCAAATCAGCTTTGTTAGTTAAACCTCCACATCTCCCCCTTAACTTTGCCAAAGAGGAGCAAGTTCACTGACCATACACAAAGGATGCAATAACAGCAGAAGAGGACAGATAGATATTTTGCAGATTAGTTTGGCAGGATGTGCAATGAGAGGAAGGTATTTTAATCATCATTAGAACTTCCCATATGCATGGCAACAAGATCAGTCAAAGCCTACAACAGGGGCAATGCACAGAGATCTCAGAGGTGGGGGCTGGGGAGCACAGCCAATCTACAGTCCTGCAGCTGGGACTCCAAAATCATGCACAAAGTGAACCCCTTAGAGAAAGGAAACATAATTTGGTCCCCTGGGTTTGGTTTTCTCTTAATTTTGTTTTTATTTTCCCTTGCATCCAAGACAGTTTAGTAGTTTATAATGAGGAACTCAGGGTCTACCAGCATCAAGGGCCTAAAAAAATGAACCAAAAGAAACAGTCTCCTAGCCTTCTGTATCTTTTTTGTTTTCCTTTCATTTTCTTCTCAGGAATCTGTAAGGCAGACTCCAGAGAAGGTGCCAGTATAAAGCCACGGAAAGGTATTTCCTTCCTAAAAATCAGGAATGTCTTGGGCATGCCTTCTCGAGTGGTGGTAACACTCGGAAAGATACTTTAATTTTGCTCTTCTGACAATACTGCAATGATCTTTTTAAAGACAAGCTAGTAGTTTGGATTCTCAAAGGTTCACGTTCCTCTATCACTCCTAAAAAGTTCAAGCCTAAGGGAAGGGAACTAATTTTAGCATGTGCTGGAAGAGACACGAAACAGCCGGCGAGAAAAATCACCTTGGCCAGAGCTTGCGTTGGCGTCGGCTCCGTCGGGGCCCAGGCCGGAGCAGATGTCAGAGGACAGAGAGGCTTTGACAGAGCAGGGCTGCTGGGTCTGCACAGCCTTCCCGAAGGTGGGGGGTGTGGGGAGGGTCACCGCGGCTGCTTCAGGGGAGCCCGGCTGGGATTTACTTGTTTCTTTGTGGGGTGAGTCTTTAGAGTCTGAAAGATTACCTGAAAGAGCAAACAAACAGAACGTATGCAACAGGAAACTCTAGGAAACCTCCAGACAAAAACCCCTGCCTAAAAATAACCTGTAGCTTGGCACCAAGAGGAACAGCAGTTCACCATCCTGGGGTACTGTACGGAGCACAGGCTTTGGGGACAGCCTGCCCCAGAAAACCACCTGCACATCCTATCGCTGAGCCCACTTCTCCACAGAGATCACGGAGCAGGTGTGGTTTTTACAGTTTCTCTTCTGTGAGCCTCCCAAGGAGCACAGCTGGAATCAAGTGAGAGCTGCTGGGGTGCTGAGGAGGAGGAGGAGCGCAGGGAGCGATGCAGTGGGACACAGAGGTTTGCTTTGGTGTTGCTTCTGACACCAAAGGTGAAATTAAGCAAATGGAGAGAAATAAAAAGTTGCTGCAGACATGTGGAAATTTTTATTTATAGCTCTCTGAGTAGAACTGTCATTGCCACTGTTAGATGCTTCTGCTGATAAATCTACATAACACATTTATGGTATTTGTATTCTGGCGTTTTTCTATGTTTTATATATTATATATTCTCTCTATATATATTTCATATGTTTTGTATATTTATATATTCTATATTTTACCCAAGGTATCTATGTGTAGATTCATATCTCTATGTAAATACTTGCATCTATACATCTATATAATTTCACATATATCTATATATAAATATATGTATCTATGTATCTCTCTACATATTCATAGATAAATACATATCTATAGATATCTAGATAATGTTTGTATGTATACTTCTGTATCTATACTTCCGTCTACAAAGATATCTTTTTAAAACCAAAATACCCTTGTAATCGTTGTTACATGGATTTATCAGCAAAAGCATCTAACAGTGGAAATTACAATAACATCAGTAATGTTATTAGAAATTGCCTGTCCTTGATCCATGAGGAAGGATTGAGGAAGGTCAAAAGAATGAGGAATCTACACTGTCCAGGATGAGAAGACTTAGGCAGGAACACAGATTCTCAAAGGTGATGTGAACTTTAGACAGTGTCTCAAAACCTGGAAAATAACATGAAAGGAATGAATGAAGGAGAGCAAGCACCAGTGATCTGATTGAGCAGATTTCTGGGCTCTAACTGAAGGTGACAGGGATTAAAAAAAAAGAAAACTGGGACATTTAATGCAGAAATAAGCTTAAATTCTTTGGACTAGGGTAGCACGCGGATACAAGCCAAGATCCAGAAGTGGAGAGAGATGTAGGTATTTCAGACAGAGAGAGGGAAAACAGTTAGAGACAACCAAAGGACCAACTAGAAAATGAATGGCCCAAGGATAAAATTGCCATTCTGAGTATGTGACCACAGGGAAAGGAAGTGAAACCCATGGACATCAGGCAAACTGCAGCTCAAGGGTTAGAAAGCATTGAACACTGCTTCAGTCCCTGCGGGAAAGAACACTCAGACTCAAGATGGACCACAGAACTTACTGCCTCTGAATGTTATTTTCCCCTTCTCAGTTGAAATCCTTCCCCAAAAGCAAAAACCTCCTGAACACTCTGCCTATAAAGATTTATGCAATGAAATTCGAAGGGGACTTTCAGTGACACTGAAAACAAAAGCCACCAGGTTTGAAACACAGGGTGGACACTGGAAATGCTCTGCTCCCCTAAATAACAGTGTGAACTAAGCTGAAGAAAAATTATTCATACTTTAGTATGAATACATTTCACTGAAGAAATAGGTACTGGGGTATATTGACATTTCCCACCTAAATTATATTTTTATACTTTTCCAAGAGATAACAACTCAAGACTGTACTACTGTGTGAAAAATCTCACGCTACTTCAGATGGTCAAAACCTCATAGTTTTATAACTGCTTTTAACTGCTCATCCTTTGGGGGAGCAAATGCAATCCCATCTCTTTTATATGGCATCTGGGAGGAAAAAGTAAACAAGAACAAGATACAGCACCTAATCAGTAGAGAATAACAGCACCTAAGAAGTGAATACAAACATCAATAAATAGCATTTGGACAAAGAAAGAGATGCAACCAGGCTGTTTTCCAAATTAAAATGGAATATTGTTCTTCTGCCAAGTGCTGTAACTAATGCAGAGCAGGCAGGGATGGCTCAGCACTGGGAGCTGGGATAAATCTGTCCAAACCCAACAAAAATTCCATCCTTTCCTGCAGGCCATCACACAGCAGAGCCACAGCTGACACGAGCAACGGGCGTAGGGAAGCATCCCAGTGCACCTACTTGTGCTTGACGTTCCACTCCTGAGCTGCTGGACCAGAGGGTTTAAGAGTTTCCCAGCTTTCAATTTGTTTTTGCTGGTTCTTCGGCGCCGGCCGCTCGGCGGGGCAGAGTGAAGGAAGCCCAAGTTGGGAGGAAGGGGTTTCCCCAGCCGAATATAGAGTGCCTCTATCTCATTCTTCTGCTGGGTCTGGAGTTCAGCAATTTCCTTCATATGCCTACAAAAAAATAAAGAACTCTGCAAGCGATGTATTTGACAAAGCACCATGTCTTGACAGTGTAATTAATTGTAAAACATAAAACAGTCCTTGGTTATAAGACAATCAACTGCAAGTATGTGAAGTTGTAACTGTCTACCTGTGATGACTCCTCATCCCTGCAAATGTCCAAGGCCAGGATGGACAGGGCTTGGAGCAACCTGACTAGTGGAAGGTGTCCCTGCCCATGGCAGGGAAGTGGAACAAGATAAGCTTTAAGGTACCTTCCAACCCAAATCATTCCATGATTCTATGACTGATGTCTCAAATATTCATTTATAAGACCAAATCCTAGACAACTAAAAAGACTTTCAACATCCTCAGCCAAACCAACTGATTTTGACATTAGATCTCGTTGGAAGTTAAACAGCTCCAGAATTTCTCTCTTCAAACCAGTGACTTCAAAAAAGTGAACTCTCAAGGCAAGTACACCAGTGTGAAGAGTTCAAGATGAAGAAAAACACAAGCATTTCCCATAAAAATGCCATTAGCACATGAATCACTACCTTATTTACACTGCAGATTTCATGATGCCATAATGTCAGTTTAAAGATTTGGAATAACTGTAGCTCTGCTTTAGAAAGATGCATCATCTGTATTCAGCAGAACCATTATACCCTAAGATAAAAATTAGTATTTTGGTTAAACTACCACCTAATGCTAGTTTTTACCCATCATCTGCCAGGAAAGGAAGAAAATGTTCAAATTTAAAGCAGTCAGCTTTCCGGGCTTGGCAGCATGACAACCTCCCTGTCAGAAGGAGCAGCAGCAAAAATGGTTTGGGGTTTAAAAAAGTTATCACTAAATCATTCAGTTATTATTGAGCTATTGTTGAATTACTAACTTATTATTGAAGGCCAGGTTGGACGGGGTTTGGAGCAACCTGGGTAGTGGAAAGTGTTCCTCCCCATGGCAGGGGTTGGAACAAGATGATCTTTAAGGTCTTTTCCAACCTAAGTCATTCTGTGATTCTGTCATTCTATGAATTGTTCTTCTATATGGAACTGGTAAATAAGGTGATGCACAGAAGGACGCACTGTGACATTTGGGGGAAGGCCTCAGTGATGCCTAATTTCACAGAATCAAAGGATATGCTGAGCTGGAAGGGACCCACAAGGATCACTGAGTCCAACCCCTGGCCCTGCACAGGCCCATCCCCAAGAGTCACCCCCTGTGCCCCAGAGGATCATCCAAACCCTCCTGGAGCTCTGGCAGCCTTGGGGCTGTGCCCACTGCCCTGGGGAGTCTGTTCAGTGCCCAACCAGCCTCTGGGGGAAGAACCTTTTTTCTATATCCAATCTAAGCCTCCCCTGAGACAACTTCCCCCCAGAACCAGTTTACTATTACAGCTCTGCTCATCCTAAGCTGAGCTGCTGCCAAGCTATGGTAACACAAGCTTCCCTCGCATTTATAGCAACCCAACATACTTTTCTCTCAGGTTCTGCAATTCTTTCTTCATATCAGCATCTTCAAACTCTGAGTCATTATCGCTGCTCATGTAGGACGACTGTGAGTGGAAGGACGTTATGTTGATGGTGGGAATCTTCGCCCCTTGCCCATTGGGTGATTCCAGGCCTGGGGAGCCGCCTTTGCCAGACCTCTGCAGGAAAGCAGCAGCCTTTTTGATCAAGTCCGTGGCTGCACTGCTGCTGGGGGGGGAGAGCTGGGCAGCAGCAGCGGGCTGCCGAGGGAAGGGCTCGTCGGCGGAGTCGCTGGAAGCCTGGTCGCAGAGCACGTCGACGGACGAGGCCGTCTGCACCCGCCGCACGGCCGCCTTCATGTCCGGGCTGGAGGGCAGCTCGTCCAGGTACACGTCCGGGGGCGCCGAGAACCTCAGGCAGTGCGGGGACGCCAAAGTCAACTCATCCTGCGTGCTGACAACTGAAAACCTGCCGATGGTTTTGGCTGGGGTGCCGCTCTCCTCAGCCTCAGCCTGTTTGCCATAGGAACCAGAGTCTAGGGAGCCATCCCTGTGAAGGTTACTCATCACCCCATCTGCTGTCGATCGCCGCGTTACACTCTCCGTGCGCGCAGGCGAAGCCATCCTCTCTGCCTCCTCGCTCCTCTGGGAAGCTTCCAGCTGGGGAGTTATGCTTGATGATGTAGGTGCAACCTGCAGGAAATAAGAGAGATTAATTTTGAAAGCAACTGTAACAATCAAGCACAATCAAAACTGCTCCTTGTTCTGGTTACCTGAAGGAGACCTTCTGCCGGAGCAGCAGGAGCTGAAGCGACGCTTGCAGCTGGACCTGTTTTAAAGATGAAAAAAAAATTCACGTCTCAAATCTTTAGTATAATAAAAGCCAATGTTTTTAATGTGATAAACTGAAATGTAGCACTGAAGGATAATTTACATACTCAATCTTTGTAATCGCAGGAGGCAACAGCAATGGCAATATAAAATATCTGCAGGTAGGCAGACCTATTGATTTGGGGAATTCAGATAATAATAGAAGTGTGGAATTTCATTAGTCAGTTGAAAATTTTTAAGGAGAAAACCAGAAGAAGGATGAAACCTGCATGGTACATTGGGCCTGACTCCTACAGTGTTCTTGGTGTCTCAGGGACACACAGTGACCACGGACAGGTCAATGTCTCACACCTTTACTGTGACATCAACACCTCAAACCTGAAATGAAAGTCAATGCACCCTGCTAAAAGTGGAAATTATAAGCCCAAAAGGTAGCCACTTGGACAACAATCACACCAGAAGCACAATATTAGTGGTAGGACTAATCAGTCAGTATTTCACCCCCCAGACACTGGTTTTAAAGTCAGACCAATGCACACAAGCTTTTGAGAATGCTGCATTTGTATGGCACACACTGCACAGAGCGAGGGCACAGCCAAATCTGTCACTTCAGAGCTCTGAAATGGTGACATATAGCAATGCTGGATGGTTTCTAAGATACACTGATTTTACTACACAGCACTTGCAAACTCTCTCCGTTGCCTGTAGGGAAACAAATGGATGCCAGCTACTCAAAACCCTCTCACTCTGCCCTAAAAGCTCGGGACAATCAACATCCACCAGGACCAGAATGGTCTAGCTTGTCACACAGAACTGGCAGCCAGATCTGCCACGATCTCAAAAAACATACATATTATCAGCCCTCCCCAGCCTCACCCATGACAGCAGGAGCAGTGTGGCATTCCTCAGCCTTTAAAACTTCCCATGAGTTTCAACAAAGCTAAATGGAGGTGAATTAATTGGTAAACTCGGGTAAATAAATAGGTGAATGGAGGTAAATAAATAGGTAGAAAGGTAAATAAATACCCATGTTCTTTCTGTGGCTCCTACTATGATGCTGTAGGAAGTGCTATTGTAGCTACAAGCACTTGAGGAGAAGTAATCCATGGGACTCCCTTGAGAATCCCCCATAATAAACATAATAAACTCCTACTGAATTCAGTTGTTTAAAATCTGCTGTTCTCATACAATATTCTTTCCAGAACTGGAACCTCCCTTTTTCATAAGTTACCAAGACTCCAGAATGAAATGTTTTGAACAGTGACAATATCTGCAGTGCCATCTTTGTTACAGTTCCCCAAAGACTGCAAGGGTGCAGGGAGATAAACTCTCATTCTGTTTTCTTCTGGAATCTCTGATGGAGAGGATCTGACTCCTGTAAAACTTCACCCCTGAGGTCTGTGAGAAGACAGGGACACAAGCCTCATGTGAAGCCAGCAGTGGCTCAGAGGGCAGAACCTGAGAGCACACACTCCCCCAGAGGGGCGACCCTTAATCATGCTATTTTTGTCAACACAATTTTCTGAAACCCAGGAATTCCGAGGGACTCTTTAAGGGCACTGGAAATTGACCTTTGGGAATGCAGCCTCCTGTGTGAATACCCCACATCTACCCCAGAGACAGGAATTGTGCTGATGGGTTAAAAGAAAGTTTTTAGGAAGGTCAACAGAAATGAGATGTTTAATATGGGTTATATCAAAACCAGGATCCTAAACAGCAGTGCTGGGCAGTGCTCTGGAGTCAGGAAAAGGTGAGCAGGGAGGGGACCAGGAGCAGGGACCGTGCACAGGCAGAGTTGCCTCAGTGAAGGAGCATTACCTGTTCCGCTTGCTGACCCACCTCTTGCTTCCAAGGGATGTGCACTGACGCTGGTGACCTCCGACTGGTCAAAATTCCAGTAAAAGGAAAAAAGAAACACAGTTTCAGTTTCACTCACAAAGCAGAATGGCACTGCATTCTCCTTCCCTCACTCCCCCTCGCTGCCCTCGCACTGTCGGGGAATATGAAACTATTTCACGGTGCCTGTGGAGGTGGCCTTCGAGCTTTGCCTCCAACTCCTCCACTTTTTTCCTTCCTTGGAAGAAATAAAGCAGTGGCAGTGTCACACTGGGAACTGCAGCATAAGTTACTAAAACCCAGTATATTACATATATACATGCTTGGGGTGTTGTTCTGGTTTGATTTTCCAGCCAGACTGCATATTCTTCATCTGTATGTGCGCCTTCAGAAGTTCTATGTCTCTTTCCTTATTGGCACCGATTTTAACAGGACAAATTCCAGTTACTGGAGAGACCTAACACCTTGCACGGAGAGAGAATTTTATCTGCTGTAGAAAGTCATTTATCATTAGAAAACAACACACTCTGAAGAGTCACTCGAGTGCAGCCACTTTCACGTACCGTACAGTGTCTCTCAAACAGCTGACACAGTCCATCTGGAACAGCCTCAGCCTTGCTAGTGGGGATGGAGTTATCTCCTGAAACGCTACTTTTAAAATAAGATAGAGAATCCCAGAATGGTTTGGGTTGGAAGAGACCTTAAAGGTCACCTCATTCTATCCCCCTGCCATGGGCAGGGACACCTTCCACTACACCAGGCTGCTCCAAGCTCTGTCCAACCTGACCTTGGGCACTTCTAGGGATAGGGTAGCCACAGTTTCTCTGGGCAACCTGTGCCAGGGCCTGGAATAGACACTGATCTTCTAGCACAAAGTTCTGCAAATCTGCTGATTTAATAAACTGGAGATTTTATCTGAAAGAACATGACATGGGGGCTCAACCGAGACACTGAGTACCCACTGTCCCAGACCACCTGCTCCCCCCTGCCTTAGAGGCTCTCGGGGCACTCTTGCTCTGACAAGCTTAGGAGGAGACAAAAGAAACCATTACAGGACATCTATGGAGTGTCTGCCTTTGGCTGCAGCATGTGGACAAGGCAAAGGCTCCTGAAGTGTTTGCTTTATCCAGACTGACTTGGAAGGTAGGAATCGTAACCACTGCCATCAATCTATATTTTTAAAAATTCCTATTAAAGCACAATTGTCTTCTCAGAACTAGAGCAACTATACCACTTGTGTTTTGCATTCTTAAACTACAAAGAAATGAATGCATTTCTGCCTGCTTTGGACACAGGACACAAGAGGAGATGAATTAAGGTATTACACCACTTTTAAATCCAAAAGAAAAGTCTGGCATTCACTAACAAGCATTTCTGTAAAATTAGTTAGGATGCATCCAACAGGAAAATTTCAAGAGAGCTTTCACACTGGAAAGCCAGTCAGCAGGCAAAGGTAACATACTCTGGAGCAGAGACATGAAAATGTTTAGGGAAGCAAGAGATATACACATGTCCTACTGCAGGTATGTGGGTGCTGAGCTCCGCCCCAGTGCTGGCCCTACAGGCTGGGTTTGGGGGCACAAAGGGCAGAACCACTGTGGGACTGACCGGTGGTGGGCAGGGCAAGACCTCCGATGGCACAAGGGGCGCCGGTGGCTTGGCAGCAGCTTTCACGTCCTGGCTGGTGTCTGGGACATTATAGCCTGGTTCCCTCCCATCCGACACCAATGCAGGACCTTGTTCTTCGGGAAAAGGTGGCAAGGTAAATTCACTGTCACCCTGTTCGGGTGGCACAGAAGTGTCCGGCGTCCCAGCTGACGCAGAGGAAGTCGGAACATATTCCTGGTACAGCAAATTGCGCAGCTTCTCATCGAGGCTTTTAATCGTGTTGTCCACGAAGTCCACCCGAGGGGGTCCCTCCCCATCGGACTCGGTGGTGCCAGGGGGGTTCTGCTGCTGCAGGAGCCCGACTCCCGCGCCGGGGCCGGACACGGGCTGTGTCGGTGGCACCGCGGCCAGCGGCTGGGCTGCAGCCAGCGGCACCTGCGTGGGGCTCTGCAGCTGGGACCCCGCCAGCCCCAGCCCCTCGGGGGCAGCGGGGAAGGGCTGGCTGGCGAAGGTGAGCGGCCCCGAGCCGGGCTGGCCGCCCTCCGGCAGCGGCGGTACCTGTGCCACCGGCTGCCGCTCCAGGACCACGGTGTCCGGGAGCAGCGGGAGCGGGCCGGGAGCCGCGGGCACGGCCTTGTGCGGCCCCACGCTGCAGCAGGCGATCTCCACGTCGGGCACACACGCAGCCTCGTCTGCCGGCGGCGGCAGCTGCGGGGCTGTGGGGGCGGCGTCGGGGGGCTCCTCCAGCCCCCCCGGATGAGGGGGCACCGCTGCCACGGCTGGGGGGTACTCCGGCTGGGCCCCGCCAGCTGCCGCCTGCTCCGGGATGTTCGGGGCAGATCCCAGCAGTGCTGAGGCTGGTAACTCTGCCTGGCTCGGGACGCTGGTGGAAGTTGCTGCAGTGGGAGCTGGTGCCAAGGATGGAGCAGCTCCGAGGGGGCTGTCACAGACTCCTCCGGGCAGAGGAAGCTGCTGCCCAGCCCCGACCTCGGGCACGTCTGTCACTGCGGAGCTCACGGGTTGCTCATCCTGCTCCGGGTCTAGAGAGAACACAAACGAAAGGTGAATGTTTTAAGGAAAGAAAATCACTGCCACACCCCCCAGTCAGCTGCAGGGACAACCCCTTAGAGCTTCCCACCAGGAAACAGCTGTTATACACATCAAGTTAGAATTTGCAGATTATGCAAAAAATATTTCACTGAAAAGGCACTGCAGTGACCAAGGCTTCATCTACCTCATAGCATAAGGCAGAGCTAAAATACTGACACTTCTCTGAAGCTCAAATAAATTCCCAATTTGGCTCAATACCAGGATCACTCTGTAAATGCCCAACTTAAATTTCATCATTTTCTTCCTCCAACTAAATGAAGTGAAACCATCACAGCTAAGTCAGGTGAGAAGAGTGACAACACAGCAGCTCCAGAGCAGATATTTCTATGAAGTTTGGACATACCTGGCCCTTCTGCCTGCTGGGCACTGGGAGGTACTGGAGGGGAAAATTCGGGGGCATCCGTAGTTGGATTTTCCACCACAGGACATATAATAAACCACCTTTTTCCAGTATGCAAAACTAGGGATGAAAAGAAAATAACAAGTAAATAACACAAGGGTTTCCATTGTCTCCAGATCGTGTCCAAACCTGAATTTCCACGTTCAGAAAGAAAATCAGAACTTCTACAATTACAGCCAAGAGTAGACCAATGGCTTCGAATTTGATCCTCATCCCTTCTGGAAGGCAGACAGTGGTGCCTCCCAGTTCTGTCAAATATTTGAAGTTATTTGAAAATTTGTTTTCAGGCATTCACACTTTTAGAAGAGTGATAGTTACGTACGTGAACATTTCATTAGTGGAACAGTGGATAGTTTTCTCACAGTGGTAAATTTGTTAATTTTGTCAAGTTTATGCAGCTGAATTTTTCCATGTTGGAAGTTTTGTAGCTAATATTTCCTTCTACATCTTCTCTCAAAGCCTGTCACATCTTATATGTAAATGGCAAACTTTCAGCAGAGAATCACAGACTCACAGAATGTGCTGAGTTGGAATGGACCCGTCAGGATCAGAGTCTGACTCCTGGCCCTGCAGAGGGGCCCAACAATCCCACCATGTGCCTGAAAGCATTGTCCAAACGCTTCTTGAACTCAGACAGGCTTGATAGCCAGGTCCCTTTCATTCATCCCAACACCATGCACTTACAGAGAGAACCGTGGGCCAATTCCCTCCCCATCCCGTTTGTCTGTACGACCCCTAAGATACAACTGTGTTTAGAGGCCAAGATACTCCAGGAATGCCAACATAGTTTCCCCCTGGAATAGCAGAGTAGCTGGAAACTGAGGGGTTAGACACTTCAATTAAATTACCAATGCAAATGTAATCTTTCAGCTTCCTCTTGTAAATATTTTTATTGTTGTGTTCAGAGGATGCTTCCCTGCACCTTCTTGACTTTCCCACCAATTATCAGCTTGTGTCATTCAGGGCTTCCCTAAACATCCCCAGATGTCCCATCCATCCCAGTTAGCCCTGCAATATTCCAGTTTGCTAACAGCAGGGATCACTATTACACCCTTACTTCTAGATATATTCCAACCATCAGTGGTTGCAAACCTCTGCATGAACTCTTCACTGCCTCAAAGCTTGAGATTAAGTTGTATTCGTAGAATCACAGAATCGCAGAATGGTTTGGCTTGGAAGGGATCAAGACCACCTTGTTCCAACCCCATGCCATGGGCAGGCATACCTTCCACTAAAAATTTAAAGGCATACTTACCATTTTGCTGATACACAGGTGTCTTCACTTGAGACTGACGCTTCTCCTGTTAAAGAAACAACAGAAGAATGAGCTCTACCAGTGCAAGAGGAGCATCATCCCAAGGAGCACTCATATTGTAAGGCTTAACAAAGTAAAAGCATTATTTTTCTAGCTAAGAAACTTCTTACTTTTTTTGAACACAGGATGCAAAACTAATTTACAGCATCTGGCTGTAAAGAGAAATGAATCAAACCAGAAAACTTTATTTAGCATTTCTTACCTCGCTCATTTCCAGCCTATCAGCATCTTGCTGGGGACTCGTTCCCTGGTCAGAACTTCGCTCTCCTTCTGTATCCTCACTGAGCATATCTTCTGCTTTATCAATGATATCTTTCATTTGCTCAATAAAAGTCTCTTTTTCACTCTGCAAGATGAACTCATTCTCTACCTAGAGGGCCACATCAAAATAAAGAGGAAAACAGTATTTTTTTGATTAATGCCTCATTCCACAGCTGTCAGACAGCTTGGGCAACAAGCACATGTGAGAAGAAGCTGCCTGAAGCAACCCGGTGCACTGAGAGCCCGTGGGGAGCCACATCTCACCATGTAAGTAGCGATTTCCTCTGGTGCATCACCATCCAAATCAAACTTGAACGTCACCATTTTGTGGTTGTGGGTTTCAAGCTGGCACTCCACCATCTTATCCCCCGTGTTACACACCTGCACGCAGAGATTAACAACCTTTACTCCTGGCAAAGCCAAAGGGATCCCAAAGTTACCCTCCAGCAGGCTGTACTTGCATTTAATATGGTCAGTTTGGGTCTGTTGGACTTCTCCTGGCGTGAACGAGCGCGCGTGGACTTCTTATGCTTCTTCGAAGACTTTCCTTCTTGCTTTCCACTTCCTATTGCTCCTTCAAAGCTGTCACTCATCTCTTTACCCGAGGCAACATCTGGACTCATGTAGCTTTATAAGGGAAAGGAAGAACAACCCCAAAATAAACCCAGAGTCACACACAAGGGAGTCACACATGGGTAAGCTACACAACAACAGAGGCGGCAAAAAAAAGGGCACATTTGCACCTTTTTTGGCCAAACTGAGTCAGCTGGAAGATAGTGAGTGAAGGGCACTATTTCTCATCAGGCACATTCTTTGGCTACCATACCTACCAAGAAATGATCTATTAATGTTTCTGAAAACACCATAGGGAAAATCTCATCACTCTGAATATATGCCCACATCACCTTATGCCTTCACTTCGGGGATCCTGACAGTCCCTCTCTGAACTGCGCCAGTTCCTACTTTTTCAAGGTGCAGTTTTTCTCAGTTCCTGCCCGCCTGCACTCCCAGCAGAGGGGCAAACAGGGCCAGCTTAGGTTTGCTGGAGAGGGAGGAAAGAATGAGGTCAGTACAGCATCCCATAGCAGACTGCCTCTCCTCTCTCTGCAGCTCTCAAGGATCAGAAAGGTTTTGTGCCCCAATATCCCAGGTGACCACCTAGCAACAGTATAATATTTTTAGCAGCCAAGCCAGTAGCTGCTCCAACCTTACTGTAACATGGCCTACATAAAACATGCAATGAATTTGCAGGAAATTTCCTCAGGTTCATAAAAAACAAGTGAGGAATGAAAGCTGTGAGGCCATCTGGCCCATTTATTACCCCAAGGGCTGATCAGCTCTGGCTAAACCAGTCCTCACAGAGGTGTGTGTAAACTGATCTTATAAAGCTCCTGTGAAATTCCACAGCTCTCCTGGACAATTTATTCCTGTGTTCATTTTGCCACACAGGGAGAAAAGGATTGAAGTCTAACCTATGGATCCGCTTCCTTTCCTAAACTCAAGGCTTTCCTTCTCATTCTGCACTAGCTGCACAGAACAACTTATTTCTCCTCCATTTGCAGCCACCTTGTCTGTGTAACTCCTGTGTTAGGAAAGTGAACACATTTAGTGCACAGGATATACTCCAGATCACATCTCTGGAGCAATTCCCAGCCACGTGATGCATATGCCATTACCGTCCACTCTACAAAAGCACAACCCAGCTCCAAGCTGTCCTTTATTTCACCTGGGGGAGTGAGCCCTCCCTCTGTGAGTACGAGGCGTGTGCTGGTGCTGTGTTTAACAGCCACCTTTAAGCACAGCTCTGCAACAGGCGAGTTAGGACTCAAAAAGTGACTGAAAATTTGGTGTGCCTTCCTACAAAGGGCACTCATTTTGTTCTATCATATCTAACTTACTTACAGCCAGAACGAATCTATAGTCACAGAAAATTTTTTTAGATCTCCCTTTCCACACAATATTTAACAGCAGCAAATTCTTGGGAAAAAAGTTCCACTTTATGGTTGTGGGGTTGCACTGACTTGTGTCAGGTGAACTTTTGTGATGGGGTAGAATAAGGTCAGAAACAGGTGTCTTTAATGTTCATTCACTGAACTCATTTTGTCTATTCAGGAAAATAGAAAAGGGTCATGAAAATCCTAATCCCAAGGCTTAGCAATCAATAAGGACAGAGTTGGTGCTGGCTCCTGCAGTGGGCAAGGCATCCAGCTCAACACACAACTCCCACCAATGCACCGCTCCCTCTAAGAGACCTGCGGAAGGATCTTTACAGGAGGTGATTTGGGAATACCCAGTTTATTCCCAAAGAGGGAACAAACTATATACCTAGCTATACTGGTTGTGGCATGTTTTCCCACAGTGTCAAAGCCAGGGGCTGTACCTCTTCAGTTATCCTAACAAAAAGACAAGTTCCATACTGCTGTACATACACCAAGCGAGGATGCTGCACCCAAACTAAGGAACTGAAAGAGCTGGAGGTGCCAGAATGGGCACACAGAACACTGCCAGCTTCTCCCTAGATGTGTCCCCATCCATCTCCTCCCAGTCAGGTCAGGACAAACAGCCTCCAGAAAGCAAACACTTCTTACACCAAAGAGGTAATAACAATACCTTTCACAGCTCTGGGACAGAGTTTGCAGTTTGTCCTGTATTGCCTGCTCCTAAAATGCAAGAAAAAGTCATTTAAGCAAATGTGTATTAGCAGAGGAAACACACCTTTAGGAAAGGTTTTGCTGTTGATACCAGTAACCCTAAAACCATTCTGTTTAACCAGTTTTGGAACTTGGAAATAAAACAAATGTCCCACTTTACCCTCCCAACATCACTTCTGTCCGAGGCCTCAACCACTTTTTCAGACAGAGCCACCAACCCACCAGCTCCCTTCTGCTGCCTCTACAGCAGATGAGATGGTGAAAGGAACACAACAGTTCTCACCACCATGGCAAAACCTGATTGAGGGACAAATTCAGATCAGCACCCATTGTACTTTATTTTTGAATGTATCTGCTAATTTGCTTAATTGCTTTATATAGCTTCCTGAAATATGCTCAGTATTTTCATTGTGTTTGGCTTAGTGGGAAAATTTCTGAGGAACTTACAATTAAAACATGGATATTCATCATTTAATAACACCACCTTCGCATTACGTCCTCTTGTTCTCTACACAAATTTCCCCTAAAAGCCTCACTCTTCACTGGTTGCAGCTCTGGGACAGACATCATAGCACGGCTTTTGCACCAGGTAAACCCATTTCCACATAATTTGTGACGGTGCTACAGGCCCTGCTGTAACAAACTTACACAGTTTGTACACAGACACACACACTCGTGCATGTATATAATTGTGCATATACACACACCCCAAATATAGTCATAAATATATATAATTTTATATATATTTATACATATTTACAAACATATGTCTATATGTCTATATTCTACAGATGCACAGCTAGAAACAAGCCCCTGGACTGCAACTGCTACACTTAACACTCAAGCAGTGGTGAGCTGGGGTTAAAAGCTCAGCAGTGAACCAGTCAGCCCCACTGGTTCTGTGGCAGTGAACCAGCGAGTCCCACTCCTCGTCTCTAACACCACACACAGGCCATGCCAAGCTTGACTGCAGTTTCGATAAAACCGCAAAATTAATGAAGGATGAGAACACAGATATAATGTATCTACATTTTGGTGATGCACTTGACCAAGTGCCTTACAAAAATCTCATTTGCCTGAGCGGCTCAGGTCGGTTGGGATGCGAGGGCTGCCACGTCTGAACACAACGGGAGAGAGAAAAACATTATGGCAGAGTAGCAACAAAATGCAGTGTCTGGATTATATGGACAAGTATGAAACTCCTCTTACACCCAAGAAGACTCTACCAATGTGTGTCCGAAAACCAGCATGGAGAGCACATGGATTGATACTGGCTTGATTTCTTAAACTGAACAAGAGAAGGGGATAACTTACAGATGGACACGAGACTGAGTTTAGCAAACCAGCGGTTAAATGTCCTGAGGGATATGGGACGTGAAGGACAGACGTGTGCCTTGATGGCCAGGGGTTTCTAAGGTAGTACAGGATGACTTGCATCCCCCATATCACACTGCACAACAAGGAGGTTTGTTCGTGTTTCCACAATGTCTAATGGGATTGACCCTGCACTGAAGGCACCAGCACTGACCCTGTCATGAGCTGTGCATTCAGAAAAAAGGCAGCTGGAGAAGGAATACCTTAAGTGATGGACATGCTTGACCCAGCCAGGCTTTTCTGGGGAGCCTGCAAGTGAAGTACTACAGACAGGGTCTACCATTCCTGCTCCATCTAAGATATAGAATACAGACATTCACGAGGAAACGTCCTACATTACAGCAGGAATGTTGATTTGATAAGAATTAATCTGCCACTGATGGACAGGAAAAATGGGGAACTGGAATCCAGCTTTAGTGTCAGCATAACCCTTCCTGAGCATCTTCTGGAGGCAGTGTTGAGTTGTGCCTCCAATGGAACTCCAGGCTGCACTGTGGAGTCAAGGCATCTGAAAAGCCATGGAAGAACAGGCAGAACCAAAAGATGCAGTTTAAAAAGATGAAACATATACTTCGGGAGGAAAGGTAGCTCAGAACAGAGCCCCAAGAGGGACAACTCTGAATGCAGAATCACAGGGGGACATTTCCATCCACAAGTGGAGAACAAATCAGACTTATTTCCTGAAATTAGGTAATGTCAAGGCTTTTGTTTTGCTTTGCTAACAGGGAGGTGAAGAGAAGGAAATGTTCTGTGATGTTCTGTCAAGACTGAAGATTAAGTAATTATGGGAGTGGAAAGAAAAGTCAAAATAGCAGACAGGAGAAGCTGACAGTTCTCCAAAGGAAATCACTAACATGTGTCCTGCTTATATGACCAGTGAGAATTAGGAATGCCTACGAATATCTGAAGAAACAAAAATCCCAGGGCTAGAGTAGACTTTAAGCAATACAAGAGGATAAAATGCTAAATGCAGTGGGAATAGTGCTCAAGCTGAGGAACATGAAGGGCTTTCACATAACGAAGGCTTAGATAATGGAGCAGTTTCTTAAGGCAAATGATGGTTGGTCACACAAGTGCTTGAGACATTTAAAACAGGACTGGACAAAACACAGGTGAAACTCTACAGAACAAATTCTCACTGACTCACAGTGAGAATTTCTTAATCTCTTAAATGTCTATCTCTGTGCTCGTGCTCAGCTACGGACAAGTGCTGCTGCCTCGAGGAGACATTTCCCAAGGTACAACATGAGGTTTCCAGCTTCACTTGGAATTGCCAATTATTTGCTGACCCAGAGTTGCCGGCATCCAGGACAAGCGGCTCAACAGAGTGAGGGGATAACCTCCCTTGTGCAATAAGCTCACTATCTCACGGGGGAGGAAGTACGAAGTTAAGGCTGAGGCCCGTGAGTTACTTCAGAGGAAGGGCTCTACCTCTTGAGATGTCTCTGCGCCTGCCGGGACAGCCGAGCAGGGGGCTGGGAGCTGCTGGCCCAGTGGCTGGGAAAGATCAGGCTGGAGCTGCAGCAGAGCAGAGGGCTGGGCAGGCAGGCTGGGGTCTATAGGTACGGGCGGGCTGGCTGTGGCCAGGCTGCCATGGACCTGGGGAGCGCCTTCGGGAGCGACGCAGGGCGGCACCAGTTCAGGCTGCAGCTGCAACGGCGGTGACATGACTATCGAAGGTTGCACCGGCAGCACGGGCACCTGGGCTCCAGCTTCCAAAGCAAACTGAGTGTGTCCAGGCATGGGCTGCAACACAATGAGAGCTGTTAGCACACACCTCTGCTCAGAGGGCTCGGGACTTACGTGACAAGGCATCAAAGTCACCCACACCCATGGAGAAAGGGCCCCAGCTCTGCAGTGAGACCGGGTTTGGGTGAGCTCAGTAACTACTAAAGAGACTAAACTTCCTTTGGAATGACTAAATAAAAAAACTGAAGATTCTCTCTATATGATAATGACACTGTGTGCATTGCTCAGGCACCAGTTAATTTGCAGGGACAAAGCCATATTTTGCTAAGTAATGAAAAATCACAGAATTCCAGAATGGAATTCCAAACCCTGTCCAACCTGACCTTGGACACTTCCAGGGATAGGGAAGCCACAGCTTCTCTGGGCAATCTGTGCCAGGGCCTCACCACCCTCACAGGGAAGGATTCCTTCCCAATATCCAATCTAACCCTGCCCTCTGGCAGTTTGAAGCCATTCTCCCTTGTCCTGTCCCGTCAGGTCCTTGTCCCAAGTTCCTCTCCAGCTCTCTTAGAGCCCCTTTAGACACTGGAAGAGATTCTAAGGTCTCCCTGGAGCCTTCTCTTCTCCGGGCTGAAGACCCCCAGCTCTCCCAGGCTGGCTCATGAGCAGAGGGGGCTCCACCTTTTAAAGCATCTCCGTGGCCTCCTCTGGACTCACTTCAAAATCTCTGGTGATGAATTCATTCTCCTGAATACTTCGCTCTGCTTTCAGTAGCCTACCACACTGTCCAAGCAGAGAAAAATACACTCTACCCATAACCTAACTTCAGATATTTTAAGGAATCTGCCATATATATGTAGAATCAGTAGCTGGGTTAAATGACACAGTTAACTCTTTTTCACTGGATATGCACCAGTGTCCTACTTTAGTTTAGTGTAGTTTACACACTGAAGTCACAACTTAACCCTTGACATGCCAAGCTCAAAGGCCCCGATCCTGCCAACACTCCCCTGTGGACAGAGGGATTTTCATTTATCTCATTGGATTTCTCCAGTGCATTAAAATAACCCGTGTGCGTAAGCACTTGGTGGGAACTGGACTGAGGCGACAGGATTCCAACTACCTTAGTGACTGGGTTGTTATTCTGCATAACAGTCCTTTTGAGTTGTATATTTAAAACCAGAACATTCTCCTTTTAGGTACATCATGTGTTTTTTTCCAAAGGGACTGAGCTTGTGGGAAGAGAAAGAAGGAAAGAAAGGAGCATATGGAAGAAAAAAGACTTTTAGTACTAGGTAGAACTGTGCCTAATTTGTACTTTTTTTTTAAAGTACCATCACCTAGAGATTTAGGCTATTGAAAAATATATTAGAAAAAGTCAAGACTCAGATGGGAACTAGGTCACACTGTTTCGTTGCTGCATGCTCTCTGCAGGTTCTGGGTGTGAGCTGAAAACTATTATCCCAGGTTTTATTGTGGGTAAAAATAAAGACAGGATGTGCTTCACAGCACCTCACAGTTACACGGCTGCCCGAGGGGGGGGGTTTTAGACTGACAACTGTGGTGTAACACCACAGAAGGGTGGTGACATTCTATTTTAAATCTTATATAACTAGAATAATTCACAAAATATTTCAGTGTCTAATTTACCTGGGCGAAACAAAACTCACAGGTGCTAAACATCAACTGCAACAACAACACTGCATTATGTACAGAAATACCTGTCCATTAAAAGTGCTTCACATCAGAACAATGTATTTTAAAATATTTCTCTGCACTTTGTAATAGCCATTTTTTATTCTGAATTCTTCCATATGCAACTCTTCCATACATATTTGATAAGTGACGACTGTGTCAAGATGGTTTGGGAACATCAGCTCTCCAGTTCTGGTGTTTGCCATGCTCCCTGTGCCTAATGGGTTTGATTCCACCCTCTCTAAAGCCACTGGGAATACTGGGTAACATTCCCAGGCTCCATGCTACTGCAATTCTCACAGACAGTATTTCTGTACCAAATATACCGCCGAAGAGAGAAATTTAAAAATGATGTAGTGCTCTGAAGATGCCGGGCTATGGCAGGTTGGGATGGGATGTTATGAATTTTAATCAGCGTGTTATGGTGAAGGGATGTGGCAGAACACAGATTTTCCAAATGCCATTAATTAACAGATTTGAGTGCCCTCTCCTGCTCGGGTCAGACTGTGTTTCACGTTGTCGTATCACAGATGTGGTGAGAGAAGTATTTACAGACTCTGTCAACAAGTCCTGAGCCAGCTTCCTTGTAAATACTGCTACTATCTGAGCTCCATTTATGCTTAATTTCTCTTAAGGAGGGAAGGGTCTGCAGTTTGAATCCATCCCTGCCCTGCAGGCCTGACAGTGCTCTTCCACGCAGTTTTCCGGAGCTGTTACCAGATGGACACTTCCCTTTGCTGTTTTAAAGATGTTCTGCATCAAAACAATTCTTCTGCTCCTGCCAACTCCCCCATGTGTGTCCTCTGCATCCGACACGGACTAAGGTATGGGCACCAGCAAGGCTCAGCATGCCCTCCTGCCCCAGGAGAACCACAGTTCACACCTCCTCAAATTTGAGATGGAGAAGGAAGAGGGAATTCAGAACGTGCTCCGTCCTCTCGCTGTCCAAAGCCTGTTGGGTTACGCTCATGACACCCCCCTGTCCCCGGGCGAAGGCACCACCTGCTCCCCCCCCTGACCTCACAGCTCCAGCCGCCATCTCCAGGACCGAGGTCGAGAAGCCAACAGAACATCTCAAGAGCAAGGAACAAGCCTCCCCACTGAGTGTTGGTGAGGGAGAGAGCCCCGGGAATGCCCGTGCCCAGAGACCGCCCCGCGGCCCAGCGCCGCTCGGCGCGGCCCCAGCCCGGCAGTTACCTGGTGAGCAGCCCCCGGCGCGGCCAGAGCCGGCTCGGGAGGGTGGATCACGCTCGGCTGCAGCGCCGGAGGAGCAGGAGGAGGCGGCTGCTGCGGCTGGGACACGGCCTGGGTGCTCTGCGCATGGTGGGGAGAGGGCGCGTCGCTCGGCAGGATCTGCTGGAAGGTGGGCTGGAACATCGGCTGCTGGGGCAGCGGGGGCACCCCGGCGTGCGGCGGCAGCGCTGGCACTCCCGGCGGGGCCACGGCGAGCAGCGGGATCGTGGCAGCCGACATGTTTGGCACTATGGTTTGGCAGGGCAGGACCAGGGAAGCCACGGTGGTGTGAGGCAGGTTGACGGCCTGCATGGGCAGGGCAGGGGAGTTGGGGGCCATGGGCAGGGTGGGGTTCATGGGCAGGCTGGGCAGGATCACGGCCGGAGCAAAGTACTGGGAAGGAGCAGGAATGGGGGGCACGTTTGCAGCAGGGATGTCAGAGAGGTTTGGAGGAAGGCTGTCAAGGCCTGCCAGAGGAGTAATTGCAGGAATGACAGGAAACTGAGGAATCTGAAAAAAACACAATATCGCATAAATTGCCGGTGTTTCCACTGATGGTACAAAACAGTTTCATTTGCCACGCAAGTCCCTAAAAACCACCTGTGCCATGAGGATAATTATGTCTGCTCGTTAATCACTTCCATTCACTTCCTGAGGTTTACAAACAGTAATAAAAACTGATTTATGCTTAAATCATCAGTAAAAGCAAAAAAAAAAAAACATTTTGGGGATGCATTTTTATACCTTAGAAGCTTAAAACTACTTCTATCACCATCTTGAAGCCTTCGAGCAACATCCTAATTAAAAGCTGCTTTTATTTTAACAGAAGTTAAAAGGAATTAAACCAGACATAACATGAAACTCTTTCATGCAAAATTCAGTAAGACTATTTAAACCCTTGTTTTTAAATGAGCTGCGACCCAAGCAGTGTGGAAGAACCCAGAAAAAAGGGTTTTTACAACTGAAACCTCCCGGTGATGGAACAAACCCCGGCATCATGGTGCCAGCTTGCTCCTGCCCTTTGGCACAAGCTGCTTCACATCACAGTGGTTGTTACCAGCAAACACAGTGACAGCACCAACCACCTCCCAGGCCAAGGGAAGGGTACATCTCTGCTTTGGAGACCAGAACCAGGGCAGAGAAAGAGACAGGGGTGGCAGGCGTAGGGGAAAGTGGTGAAGTCAGGAGGTCAGAAAATAGAAAAAAAAAGGGCAACTTCTCATGCTGTCAAGCCTGGGATGGGGAAGAGACTGTTCCAGAGGGAACAGTGCAAAAAACCCAAACCAAAACAACATCAAAAAGCAGTTATTGCCAGTTTGGAACTGCCATTAACTGGATGCCACAGGGTTGGGTACAAGAGATTTCTTCTTCACCAAACAAATAATAAATAATAAAGGAATACACGGGAACTGGGAAAAAGCAAATGTTCTCATGGCCTAATTAAACTGGCATGCAGTCAAAACAGCCACACGAAAAACCGGAAATCACGTTAATTATTAGCTGGAGAGCTTTCCCCAGTGGATGTGTTCACACGCCGTTACCTGGGAGGGGGCCACGGGCGGGAGCTGCGGCACAGTGGAGATCTGCAGGGGCTTCAGGGGGGCACTGCTGGCTGCCACCGGCGAGCCCTGCGCCGGGAACTGTGGCAGCAGGTGTGGCGCGGGCTGGAGCGGGCACACGGGCTGGCTGGCCAGGACCTGCGGCAGGGGGGCCGCCTGGGACATGGGCTGCTGCTGCTGCGGGAGACAACGGGGGAAAAGGCTTATTGGCTTGTGGGCCACAGAAGGACCAGGTGGCGGAACACACTGCCTGCTTCTGTCCAGCTCGCTGTCAGGACAGACCCGCCGGCTGGACCGTGGAATCACAGAACCACTGAGGTTGGAAAAGACCTCTAAGATCCCCGAGTCCAATCGCCAACCCAGCACTGCCAGGTCCACCACTAAACCATGTCTCCATGTGCCACATCTACATGGTTTTTGGACACTGGTAGTGAGCCCACCACTTCCAGTGACCCCTCCAATGCCTGACCACCTTTTCCATGAAGAAAATTTCCCTAATATCCAACCTGAACCTCCCCTGATGCAACTTGAGGCAGTTTCCGCTTGTCCTGTCACTTGTTCTCTGGGAGTAGAGCCCAACTTGTCCCCACTCTGGCTCCCCTCTCCTGTCAGGGAGTTGGAAAGAGCAAAAAGGTCCTGCCTGAGCCTTTTCTCCAGGCTGAGCCACTCCCAGCTCCCTCAGCTGCTCCTCATCAGACTTGTGCTCCAAACCCTTCCCCAGCCCTGTTGTCCTTCTCTGGACACGCTCCAGCCCCTCAGAAGACGTTCCAGCCCCTCAGGACATGCACCCAGCAGGGACAGCTTACAGAAGAGATGGACACTCCTAATTCAAACACTGCACAGCAGCCCGTGTTTAAAACATATTTAAATACAAGACACATTACCTAAAAAGACAAGTTCTAACTACCTTGGAGAGGTTATTTGTAACCACTCAGACTCTTTAAATCCCAGAGATTGTTCCAGTTGGCACTGTGAAATCCCACCCACTAACTTTCAAGATGCAGATAATACCCAGCGCATCCTGGTGTGCAGAAGCTGCTACCTAAAGAAGCAGGCACAGGAACCACAACACTTCTTATCTGAGACACAATAAACCACAATAATTACAGTAAAAGCTGGGTCCCAGTTATTTCTGAGGTGCTGTAGTGACAATGTGGCAGCGAAAAAAGCAGTTTTACTCTTCCAGGGAAAGCAGGCTTTGGGCAGCAGAATAGTGAGAAAATGTTGCATTAAAGCTGGAAATAGCAGAAACAAACTTCCACATTTTGTGTGCTACCAGTATCTCCTCCTTCAGTTCCTCTAATTAGTTCTGGAAAGACTTTAAAAACCTTTCTGGTCCAGAAAGATGGCACTGGAGACACAGGCTGTCTCATGGTGACCTATTTGGGACCGCAGGGCTGATGGCTCCACCAGGCTCTGCAGCACACAGCACCTCACACCGTGCCCATGGTCAGAAGGTAAACTTTAAAAGGGATAGCCAAGTGTTAGAATCCTTCATCTTTGCCACTTCCACCACAAATCTGTGTAGGAATATGTTGCTCAGCACTTTTTTAATAGCAGGACTCCTCAACTAGTTTGGTATTAATGCAATAAAACTGTAGCAGATGTACTATAGGATCACAGAAACGTTTCAATTGGAAGGGACCTCAAAGATCATCTCATTGCACCCCCTGCCATGGGCAGGGACACCTTCCACTAGCCCAGCTTGTTCCAAGCCCTGTCCAACCTGGCCTTGGACACTTCCAGGGATGGGGCAGCCACAGCTCCTCTGGGCAACCTGTGCCAGGGCCTCCCCACCCTCACAGGGAAGAATTTCTTTCTCATATCTTAGCTGAACCTACCCTCCTTCAGCTTAAGGCCATTCCCTCTTGTCCTGTCTCTCCATCCCTTGCCCAAGTCCCTGTCCAGCTCTCTTGGAGCCTCTTTAGGCACTGGAAAGGCCTTCCTGGAGCCTTCTCTTCTCCAGGTTGAACACTCCCAGCTCTCTCAGCCTGTCTCTGCATTGACGAAGCAAGATGCCTTCCACCCTTAAACAGTTAAACTTCAGCCATGACTGGTAAGTTCCCAATACAGGATTGGGGAACAAAAGAGAATTTGGCGCTTGGTGTCACATATCCAGGGCTGACAACACTGAGTGCCAGAGTGAGCACATCACACTGGAGGTGGCACTGAAGAACTCCCTGCAGCCTCAGTGTGGCTCCTGCAGCATAAGGTGGTCATGCCTGAGCATTACTCTGCCACGTGACATCAAACCCCAGCAACATGGATCTGTGCTGCAGTTTCTGCCATCCCAGGTTTTGGGAAAAGAGGTGGCATCTACCCAGTTACAGTCCCAAACCCAAGGGAACGGCAGCGTGGGAGCTGGCCTGGCACTGCTGATGGGACAAACTGGCCAAGGTGGAGGCACCTGGGGAGTGCCTGAGGGATTGGGGGGGGCCCACTCACCCCACAGAGGAACTCCTGCCAGACCCAGCCCGAGCTCCAGAGCAGAACAGCTGCACACCCACTGGGCTGGAGCAAATAAATCTGCCAGTTCCCACAGCTAGCTCAGCTCTCACACCCGGCCGGGTTAATCTGCAGCTCAGACGGCTGCCCACGGGTCACCACGGACAGGGGGCACTGGCACAGGTGGCTCAGCCACCTCCCACTCGAGGAGAGACCACGTTAGCAGCAGGAAAACAGCATTCAGGGAACAGAGAGGCTTCCTAAAACCTCTGCTTCAAATTCAGCTCGTGTCTTAAAGTGCTTGTGAACGGGACGAGGCACGGGGAGGGGAAAATATCCAGGTGGATTAGTAACTTTGCCTCGTAACTTTAACAGTATAAATGCACAGACACTCAAATTGGAAAAAAACCCAAAACAATTAGAAGATGCAACATTGATCCCACGTCTGAGCCACCAGTGTATAATGATACAAGAACATCCTGTAGGCAGGTGAATTTCTCACCCCCATTTCCTCTTCTGCTGCCCTGCCCTACCCCCCACAGCATGGACATTCCCAAAGTCCCCACACACCTGGGGACTCTGGGACCACTGGACCTACCGCTGTCTCTGAGACACAGGTGCACTCTGGGAAGTTCTGCAGAAAAACTTGACCATTTTACCTATTTTTGTAATAATAATAATAATAAAAAAACTGTAAAAAGCCAGTTTTTTATTAGGCTTCCTAGTAAGATTAGGAAGCAAAGACAGATCAGTAATTAAATCCTTCTGCTGTCAGGGATAGAACTATTCCAAGAGACAGCAATGCTGTGAGGAAAGGGCACGATAAAGGAATTAAGTTGGGCAAATATCCTATTCCAAACCAGAATCTGCTCATGGGGGAAAATAAACAACAGATTTGGAACTGTCAGCATAAAGCTCCAGAGGCCACCAGCAAGACCTGTGCAAATGGTGAGGTCCTAAACCTGCCTGAGTATAAAATTTTTGTCTCTACCCATTAGAAAAAAACCTGTTATGTGACAAAACCTGGCACAAAGGTATGTTTTTCAAGGAGACCAAACGACAAGTCTCTATTATTGATGCTTTGAGAAGAACGGGGCATGTTAAAAAAAACCCTAAATGGCAACCAGTGAGATAAATGTTGATAATTCAAAAGGTTTGGAGAGGTGTGATTCGTGCCAGTCACAAAGTATAGACACTCTCCAGCACCAGCAACAGTTTCTACTGAAGGAAGCCAAGTTTTTTGTATAATCACCGAAATAAGCCATTATAGAATTACCAGATCATACCAGGCTGTGGCTGCATCCCTCATGAGAGCACCCCCTCCACTGCTGGGAAGAGCTGCTTTGGAAATAGCTTTAGGAAATGCAGGGTTTGGAGTGAGATTTGATCCCTGAAAATGCACAAGAGTTACTGTTTGGAGGCAACTCAGAGACAGGCTTTGCTGCTGAAGGTGGACCTCCTGGCTGGGTGCCTGCACTGAACTGTATTAACATCTCATCGAGCAGCACCACTGAGGATTCAGAGACAAGTGGCACCAGGCTAAGGGGTCTCTTTCTAACCTTTTAGAAAGGAGGTGCTGAATAATAACACAAAATTATTAACAAACTGTTGGATTTTTACAGATCAAGACAGCACATTGATATCAATGCAAGGCTTCAGGCTGATGCTGTGAAGCCACAATGGAAGACTTAAACTCAACCAAGACGTGCCAATGTGTGTTCCATGACTGTCCTCAAGGCTGTTAGGCCAAATACCCATTGTCCCACTCCTAAATCTCTCAAGTTGCAGTTTAACAGTTTCAAACAGCTCAAACTCGCTACAGGTATCACACAATCACAGGAGTGGTTTGGGTTGCAAGGGACCTTAAAGCTTATCTCGTTCCACTGGAGCAGGCTGCTCCAAGCCCCACCCAACCTGGCCTTGGACACTTCCAGGGATGGGGCAGCCACAGCTTCTCTGGGCAACCTGGGCAAGCTGGAGCAGAGCACAGGGAAGGGGTGGGATGAGGCAAGGGTTTTTTGGCAGAGCCCAACTCTCACCTGCTGGCCGGCCAGCACTGGCGGCGGCGGCTGCCCCAGCGGGAGGGAGGCGACCGTGGTGGGCTGGACAACCGGGAACGGCATCGCCGGCTCCTGGTAGTGCTGGGGCACCACGGCGGGCGCCGCCGGCACCGCGGGGAGGACAGGCTGTGGAGAGAGAGCACGGCATCAGGGAGGGCACCGCCACCTCAGGGGCTCTGCGACCGCTCGGCACGAGCACAGCCGCGCACAGTTCGTCCGCTCGGTACTTGGGTCAAAACAGAGGGGAGAAAACTTCTCTGCAAGGAATGGCAATCTAAAAACGTGGAAAAAAGTCAGAAAATGCCAAATAAATTAATGAAACCACACTGCATTTCTTTCTGGAAGCAAGAGTGCAGACCAGTAAAACCAGTGGAAGCACAGTGAGTGGGAACAGACCAGCAACAACAACCGGGTAACAAATTTGTTATCTTTACAAATTTATCTTCAAATTTATCTTCACAAAGTTTTTTCTAATTTTATAATCTTTATCTTCCAAAAAAGCAGGTAATTTACTGGAAATGGATGCCAGGAAAATAAATGGAGAAATGAGAAACAAATTAAAAATTAAAATAGAAATTCAGATCAGGTTTTAACAACATCAGGTCTCTACAACTTCAGCTCAAACAAAACAGACAAATTACAAATAAACAGTATGTCAGACTGAGGCTCATAAAACCCCTACTGCAGCTCCAGTTATGTGCTTGTCAACTTGGTCAATAATACCCAGTTAGATACAGTAATTCTTCTTTTTTTTTTTAATTGGAAAACAGAAGGTTTTTCATCAGACTTTGTTTCCTGTGTTTTTTTAGATTTACCAGACTCAGAACTCTTAACCTAAATTATCACAGGAAGAAAAGAACATGGTAGACCCATCAGAAAATAAAAAGTTAGAAGAAATATTCTGCTTGTGAATGAAGGATGTTGTCTTTTCAAACCCTCAATCAACAAGTTTAGGTTAAAATTACTGGAACCTATCAACAGAAAGAATGACAGAATGTGCTGCACAGCTTGATTTGATAATAAATTCTGCTCAAGGTGTGCTTTTGGAGTGTTACATTTAGAAGGGTTCATTTGGTGCTTCGGGTGAAGAAGAAATGAGGAAGGATTCATCCCATCCATTCCAGGAGATGGGTGCCCATAGGAAAAGTTGCTTTCCACAGTAGAGGGAGCTGGCTACAGATGTCAAGGATGAATTTTTTACCTTCAAGTGAACAGAGTTGATGTATTTCCAAAATACAGTTCGGAATTTTTTGGCAACGTTTTGGAAAAATACATGGTAAAATCAGGGGAAACGAGGCACTGGATGACCCTGTAACCCTTGTCAGAGCTGGAAGGAACACCAGAGCCAGGGGGCTCTTGGAGCAGAAACATGGGACTACACCAACAGCGAGCAAAACAAAACAGTTTGCAACCACGTGCAGCAGATTAAAAGTAAACACAGAATCATGGAATCACCGGAGTGTTTGGTTTGGAAGGGACCTTACAAACAACCTCATCCCACCCCCTGCCATGGGCAGAGACACCTTCCACTAGCCCAGGTTGCTCCAAGCCCCGTCCAACCCGGTCTTGGACACTTCCAGGGATGAGGCAGCCACAGCTTCTCTGGGTAACCTGTGCCAGGGCCTCATCACCCTCACAGAGAAGAATTTCTTCCCAATATCCTATCTAACCCTGCCCTCTGGCAGTTTAAAGCCATTTTCCCTTGTCCTGTCATTCCAGGCCCTTGTCCAAAGTCCCTCCACAGCTCTTTTGGAGCCCCTTTAGGCACCAGAAGGGGCTCTAGGGCTTCCCTAAAGCCTTCTCTCCTCCAGGCTGAACACCTCCAGTCCTCCCAGCCTGTCTCCAGAGCAGAGGGGTGTCAGCCCTTGGAGCATCTTCATGGCCTCCTCTGGAACTGCTCCAACAGGTCCATGTCCTTCTTGTGCTTTGTGGCAAAGCCACTAACAGATTTCAGCATCAACAGATTGATAAGGAACTTTTTTACTGAAAGCATGACAGCTGCCAGTGAAGCAGGATGGCAAATACCACGACTCAGGCACCATCACCCATTTCACATCCACCAGAAATGTACAACTGAGCAGGTCACCACCCACAGAGACGAGCGAGGAACACATGAAGAAGAGTCCCGGAATCCGCACCCTCCAGAAACAAGAATATAAATGGTAATACTGAATATGACCCAGGATACAAAATGATCTGGAAAAAAAAAAAAGCTTTAGACTTACTGCTGAGGGCTGCTGGTAGTGCCCGAGCTGGGGCAGGCTGTGGGGCACGGGCTGGCTCTCGCTCAGGGGGGGGCTGTACACCCGCTGGATGGCCGGGGGCACTGCATCGGGCAGGGACGAGTAGATGACACTTTGCTGGCTGCTCTGGGAGTCAGAATAAACAGTGGAGCCCTGGCCGCTGTCAAACGTGCTGTCAGCTGAAAGAACAGTTAATTTTTATTAAAAGCCCAACAACTCCAAACGTTCGAGTGACGACTTTAGAGCAAGGTCACCGTGGTTTATGCAATTAGCGTTTTTACTACCCTGGCCCTTTTGTTATATAAATAAATTATACAACACAAATGTTATTTTCTGCAAAAGGCACATACTGCTTCTCTTAAGCCAAAAGGCATCCCCATGGATTTCTGTGCACAGTGATATTTTAGGCACATTAATATTTCCTTTAAAGGGCATAAGGTTGACATTAAGAATTGCAGCCGTCTATAGATTCTGTAGGATGAAAGGAGAGGTAATCCCAATTGTCATGTTCAGAGCAGATCATGGGCTCTTTTAGAGTTCCATCTCCCAGGGATGCACTGACTTTAACACCTTTTTTTACTAGCAACACTGAAAATCACAAAATTCTTTATGCTGTATGACTTATTAGTCCAGCAAGTCACACCCTGCTTGCATGTGGAGCAGTACCTCAAGCTGAAGGTCAGACACAAAACCATATGCAGGTTTCAGTGAGTTAAGAGCACACTCTGTGGGAGTTTCTCATGGAGCATTTGCCCAGTGAACCTGTGGAATTGCACAGCTACGGGCACTGGGAGAGCACCAGGTCCTTTGTCCAGGGGAAATATTGGTATTACTGATTTAAAAATGTTTCTTCACGACTTTTAAAGCCTGTAAAGTGCAGGTTCACAGCTCTTCTTGAGCATAAGCTACTGCTTTCTTCACTTGAGAAAGGAAATGAGATAATCAGACTGCAGCTGGATGTATCCAAAGGACAAACAGCTTTGAAGAGATTAAAAATTTAAAAATGAAAGAAAACTGCAATGCAGTTTAAAAAAATGGCTTAAGTTACAGCTAAGCTTAAACACCATTTCTTTTTCCAACACTTTCCATCGTCTCTTTTTTCCATATTCTAAATGAGGTTTTACTTATTTGGCTTTAAATAAAAAATTATTTTTTAATAGCACCAGAGATGACATTTCTCTTCAGTACTTACAAACTATTCTCCCAACTGTTTGGGTTTTTTTCCAGAATTAAACTCCCCTCTCTATTTATTCAGTTCATTTCTGAAGAGCCAACACAGCTCTCTCTCACGATGGGAATTCTGCTGCATAAACACTTCCATTTTATTACAAACAATTATTCAGGACCTCAAAGGGGAAAAAAAAAGAATGACAGCCAAGTGCTAAGGTAAAAGCTGTGAGTCAGCCTCAGGATTTTATAGAACAACACACATTAAGTTATTAGTTTCCATTTTTACATTTGACCTCAGATTACATGAACAGGTGGCACTCTAATTTACAGAAGTCTTATGCTAAGAAAATGTTCAAATACTCTGATAGCAAATTGTCAAATAACACCAAGTGTTGGTTAAAAGTTGAGGAGGAATAGGAAATAAATTGGGGGGGGTTATACTTAGTATAAAATTCTGCCAACTCATGTCCAGCAGAATCATGGGAAGCACAAATTGCCTTGTTGCACCACTGGAAACAAAAAGAGTCATAATTGCAGTGTTCCTCAAAGGAATTAGCATGAAACAAATATATGATCCAAAAAATTGAAATGAGCTCAATTTAGATTCAAATAAAAAGCTTTGTGAATACAGCAATATTGTGAGTGTTATGCAAATGTGGCTAAATATCTTGTAAAGACATTTTTCCTGTAGAGGCATGCATGGATATTTCAGAATTCAAAGCAGACCTCTGTGTAGCCCTTTATACAATACCTGAATTAAAGCAGCAGCTGTGTCTTTGCTAAAGTTAATGCATCTTTAACTCAAATGTGCTTAAATACAAGCCCAGAACAGTAAAACAGAAACATTATGATAATTGTTTTGTAGGAAAATATGCATATCGGATTTTATCAGAAAAATTGGCTAGGAAAAAGGAAAAGAACTCTCATAAAATTTCAAATCTTCCAAGCAAAAAATCACAGAATCACAGAATGGTTTGGGCTGGAAGGGACTTTAAAGCTCATCTTGTTCCACCTCCTGCCATGGGCAGGGACACCTTCCACTAGACCAGGGTGCTCCAAGCCCCGTCCAAGCTGGCCTTGGACACTTCCAGGGATGGGGCAAAAATATCTGGCAATGTTTCCTTCAAGATGGTTAAAAGTACAAACAGATTTAGATTTCAGTACCAGAGCTCGAGTCAGTAACAAAGGTTAATTTTAGCGGCCAGAGTCAGGGCAGAGTTACTTTAGGAAAATAAAAGCACTCCCCCTTCCTTGTGCTGTGCTGTTTGCTGGGGGTAAATCTGACACTCAGAATCCAAACGAAGAAACAACAAGCTCTGCAAGCCAAACCAGAGAGTTTCTTATAGCCAGAGATAGACCAAAATCAGTGCTTGGAATTAAACCAGGAGGCGTCCTTGAAATAGCCCTGGGATCAGCCCCAGCTGCATGTCAAGGGCTGGCAGATCAGTGACCCCCTACTCTGATCTGCCACGGGGGAGCTCAAACAGGCCCTGGCCTCAGGGCCATGAGCTCAGGGTAAAAGAGAGCATGGGGGAACAGAGTTAACCTCTGACCATGATCCAAAGATCCAACAGCAATTACAATGTCAGCCCACAGCTCTGGTGCTCCCAACACCCCTGACCAAAACACAGTTGGTATTTCTCATAAAACAGGGAAATCTTAAATTACATCACATAACATCTAGAGATGGATTTTTCTTCCTACCACAGACCTTTGCACAGCATCACAAAAAACTGTAAGGCATAAGGAGTCACTTGAAAACACAAGAGCCTGCTGTGCCTTGGTTTCAGTAAGGCCTGGTTTGCAATGGACATCTCCACAAGGTCAACATCATTTGAAAGAGCCACCAGTTGCTCTGACCAGTTTGAATCATACACATTCACAGAATCCCAAGTTGGAAGGAATCCACAAGGATCAGCAATTAGTTTGGTGCCAATTCAACTTCAGCAGGCTCTGAAATCGTGTTTTGCATGAAGTTGATCCCACCACCTAGCACAGAAAACACGTAGCTTTTGTGTCAAGCAGCAGGTTTCCTTGCCTTTCCATTTACAAATCCATTATAGTTTTGGCATTTATTGCTACTGAAGGAATGTTATATAGAGATATCTGTATTATATAGTTTTCTTGAAACTTTAACAGAATATGCTGTGTTGGAAAGGACCCACAAGGATCATCCAGTCCAGCTCCTGGCCCTGCACAGGTCTATCCCCGACAGCCACACCACGTGCCTGAGAGGATCATCCAAACCCTCCTGGAGCTCTGGCAGCCTTGGGGCTGTGCCCACTGCCCGGGGGAGCCTCCTTCAAAATTGTGATGTGTCTGTCCGGGACTCTTGCGTTTTTTGAGCTACTGTTCAAACCCACACACATCAGTTCCTCTCTCCCCTGAGCTGGGATCACTGTGGCTTTTTCCCTTGGAGATTCACCACTGAATGCCCACAAACCACGAGACTTACACGCGACGGAGGTGACGCTGGTGGGCAGGTTCTGCTGGAAGGGGTGCTGGTCCGCCTCCGGCTCCTCCGGCTCCGACAGGATGTGGTGCCCCGTGTGGGACAGGTACGTGACCTGCACCTGCTGCGCCTGCGGCGCCTTCAGCTTCTCCAGGCACTCCGAGTCCCGCCGCTCCTCCGACTGCATCCTCGGCCAGATCCGCTCTCTCCTCCACAGGATCAGCGCTACTCTGTCCCGTATGGACTTGGCAACTATCTTGAGATCGTTTTCATGGAAAAATCCCGAGTCAATCTACAGAGGAGGCACAGACTTAGCAAGGTCACGCGTGCATGGACGTGCACACACGTGTCACACACCTGTGCCACTGAAATCTCTTCCTAACAGAGAAGACATCAGTTTGAAACAATATGAATTTAAATAAATTTATTTCTCACGAGAACAGGAACTCGAGAGCTTGATGGGGTCTTTTTTTAATAAAGCTTCTATCCCGAATGCATTAAAAAACCCAGTATGTAATTTCTAAGATATGAATAGGTATTGGCTCAATTTATTCACCACTTAACATCCATTGTGGAGAGCAAGTTTAATGGCAGATGGGTTCCCCTCTTTTTTTCTTGTTAACACTAAAAGAATAGTCAAAACAGGAAAAAGAATCTTTGAACAACGCAACTGGAGTGAATCAAACTACCCCTAAATCTGAATTTATTGCCTTAACCTTTCCAGCACACACAGTTTCCCAAATTACTCTGCCCAGCAGCACAGCAATCTCTGAGGGACAAGATGTTAACAGAATTATGTCTCAAATTAACTTCTCTTAAATAGTGAAGTCAGTCAGTATTGATTGACTTTTATAAACAAAAAGCCCATCAGTGAGTCCGATGCAGACTGTTCCCATTTGATGGAAAAGGGGACGAGGCTTCTCAGAACTCAACCACTCGACAGATGAAATGGAAATTCATCTTTGTGCTATTTGTTCGCATAAGCTCCTCCAGCACAGGGTATGAATTTTCATTTAATAATAACCTACCAGAGCTTTGTCTGCTCTCCCTACATTCTTAACATACATATTCAATGGATTTGGAAGCACTTGTATCCATGGGGGAGATCTAGAGGCTTTCCTGCTTTGCTCTTGCCCAAACATGAGGCAGTTTCACAGCTTAAATTTTCACTGTTTAAAATTAAAGGGGGTAAAGTAGCCTAAAACACAGGTTCATTTTAATGAAGATGTGCCACTTTACAGTCCCCACCGATTAGGAGAGCTGACTTCAGGCTCCAAACCCACCAGAACACTTCAAGTTCCTTTTAGCCACATCCTTTGGACAGGTGGGATTGCCCAACTACCAAAACCACATCAGTAATGATAAATAATTGCCTGTACTCAGGAGGTCTCCTGCATTCTTCTCTTCCACAGCACATAAAAAAACAAACTGATGAAAGCACATGGCTTTGGTGTTCCACAACTGATAAGGACTAGAAAAAGACATTTAGGAATAAATGTCCCTCTTTTCTGCCCCTGCAACAGCCTCAAGTTTGAAAGCATTTCAGGACAGTCACTTAGGTAACTATTAATGCAGAACACAGGTTTTAAAATTATTTGGGAAAGGGTATAGTGTCACTGTAGTTTGGGCATGATCCTTGTAAATATACTTTTTACTAGAATCATTTCCTCTTCAAAACAAAACATCACAGCTGTGGACCAAGCAACTTACAGAACTTCAAAATGCCAGATATTTCCACCAATATTTAAATGCAAAATAAAGCAGTAGGTAACTGTACCAGAGCCACTTTTAAACTAAATAGTTCTGTAACAATACACTGCTGGAAAAATACTGGACCTACTGCAAACTAATGACAAGAAGACAGAGGAGCCTGAATTCCTCCCACTAAATTTGGAGCAGAAGGTGACGATTCCCAGCAGAGCAAGGCAGCATTACCAAAAAGAGTGCCTCCTGAGCAGAACAGGAGTGGTGATGACAACACTGTTAAATGGGAACCCTTGGGATTTAGATTATAATAGCACTTCTGCAAGCACAGGAAAGTTCAGACCTCGGCTCAGAGCTTACTGACTCTGAGCCTCCATGACGCTAGAACGGTGCAGTAACAGCACCACTGAAATATGAGCTCAAGAACAAGGCAGTGAAATTGGAACACAGATTCTCTAACAAAACTCCACAAGTTACGAAGACACAGAAACTCACCAAGTTAAACTTATCTGTTAAAAAATCCAAAGCTTATTCCTAACTGGGTGAATCTAGTTTCCTATCAATGTTTGGCGGCAGAGCGGCTGACCACAGACCTTCCTCATCTACATTCCTCCTAAGGAACACCATAGAAAAGATGGGAAAAGGAGTTTTGGAGAATTCAGTGCAGAAAGTTTTGTGACTGAACTTCTGAGCTCTTCTAATTTGTTTCAAGCTGCTGCCTGGAACTAAACAGATTCCAAACACATTCGAAGACATTCAACAGCCTACAGAAACTGGCAAAAGAGTTTGCAAAACATAAAAGTGGACCAGACCTTTATGGTCCCTAAGCTACTTGAAATGTTATTTCAGGCATCTGCTTTCATACATGGCAAACAATATGTTTCAGTTATTAGTTCTTCCCCGTTTACCCCTTTCTTGCAGCATTCACTCCAAAATCAATGTGAAGAGCCTAAACTGGACACCTGGAATGGTTCAAGTGGAGTTACTTTACCAGACTTGTTCCTGCTGTCTTTTGAGACTTATGTACTACTTTATATATACACATTTTTGTCAGGAGAAGTTTATTTTACCATTTCTTGTGCAACATCATCAGGAGTTTCCTTCTCCAGATCAAAAGTAAACTCAATGGCTCCATTATCTTTGGGTTTTCCTTTCAGTTTCTTAGGATCTTCTACCCAGAGTCTTAAGGCAATAGAGGATTTCCTACCATGGTCTTCTTCTGCAAGTTCCACTCTTACCCCAGTATCTTCAGCAAAAAAGGCATGGCTTAATAAATCTTTAATTTCATATCTGCAAAGGATATAAAGAAGATTCAAATACTGTAAGTCAAGCAATTCAGAAAGGTTTGTGACAAGAAATTGCTGTTAAAGGTGGAAACATTTACAGTATGTTTGGTGTCCACCCATAACGAATTTGTGTTCTTTTTGAAAAGACATGGGATTTCCCATGTTACTGAAAATGAAATGAAAGTGAAAAAATGACATTTTCATTTCTCAGAGCTTTAGAAACATTCATACACCACAAGCACATACAGAAATGCAGACTATAGCTTTGCTCAACTTTTCTTGAGTACCTGAGCCTAAGGAGTACTAAAGAAGAGGTTCCCTCTAGGGAGTCAGCTGAGGTCCCTAAAAACTGTATTTAGGAAAGACAGGAAGCACTGAGCACTAGAGAAACTGGCAGAGACCAGTGAAAGATCAGGTTTTAAACCTGAAGCTTGAAACAATGCACAACATGTCTCCATGTCCAGAGGCCACTGAGGCCAACGGGATCTGCTACAACAGCTTGTGATGAATCTACATCGACCCTCACCACACTTGGTGCTCCAGGCAGAACCTTCCAAGGGAAATGTTATGGACTGAGGAGCCAGGAATTGCTACTGGAACACCCAGGTTCAGGTCCACAGCAATGCCTCCTGACCTCATCCTTTGGAGCTGAGAGGCTGGGAGACACCACAGCACTTGTCCTGACATTGTGTGCCAGGGAAGCAGGAAATCATTCATATTTGCATTCCCATTCTGTGCTTTCTCCCCAGAGAAAATCCACAAAGAACAAAACTCCACAGACAGTTCTGAAATCCCTGCACACACATTACTTAATACAAAACTTGATCACTTGAAACAAACCTTTCTTCCTTATTTTTGCAGATGCACTCCCCAATTATCTCTTTAATTTCGGGATCAGTAACTTTCTCAAAGCTCGCTGGCTTTATACCCTAAAAGGATAGAGAAAAACAATTTAGTTTGAAAAAGAATTGCATTATATCTCTTAATTAAGCATATTTTTCCTACATTGTACAGTTAATTCAACCCTTGGAGTAACTAATGCTTTAAAGTTGTTAGTCTTAATGCAAAACTGAGTTTAAGATTTAGGGCTACCATATTTCTAAGTACCACTGCACTTCAAAAGTAGTACACTAGTTTGCATGAGCTCAGCCACACACAGGGCAAGTATCTCTTTTTCTTTACCATCTTTTGCAAATTTTACCTTTATATCCTGTGGACTCTGAAGTGAATATTCAAGAAACAGCCAGTTTTAAATTTCAAAAATAACCATTTTCTGAAATGATTCCTTTTATGTTTTTGCCTTAACTCTTAAAACACTAAGTGAATAAAGACAAATAATCATGTTTTTTCTTCAGTTAACCAGTGCTGAGATTTAATCAAAATACCTTGGAATAGTCCATATTCCTGTTTCCCACAAACCTTTTGCTTTTCTATGACCCAAACACTCTCCAACAGCCCAGTTTCCATAAAAAATTAAAAATCAACCCTAATAACAAAGCTGGAAAGCAGGAGAATATACCCAACAGCTCTGTGTTGCTCTTGAATTTCCCAGGATATTGTTAGAATCCCACTGGGAATGCGTGGTAGAGCAGGTGCAGCCTATAAATCAAGTTAAATCTCTGCCAAATGTTAACATTTTTCTGGGAATAGTTCTAGATTTGGAACAGCAACCTATGAGCGTGGCCTTTCAAGGAGAAAACCCAACTGCTCATTGCAAAAGAAAACCTGGAGAGGCAGAATCCATGTCTCCACACTGGGAGCTCAGCTCTGTAGGTGCAACAGGGATACTTTGCATTTCTTTAAGGTTAGCTGGGATTGTGTTAAGAAGATGGAGAGGATTTAAAAGGGATACACAAACGCATTCCTAGGACAGTCACAGGTCAGCTCTCCCCACTGTCTAGTATTTTAGGACCAAGATCTTAACTCAGCATGATCCACCTCAGGGTACAGAGCCTGGATAAAATAACATATAATATAAAAATAACGTATATCTTACCAACCTAAGGACAGACTGTAGGAGAAGAGGTATGTGAGCTCTCAGCTAAGTAACAGTTCATACATTGTGTCATCATTCCGTACAGATATCCAAAATATACCAAAAAAACACCAATGGGGAACACCTGGGCAGTCAGCACAGATGTGGGGCTGGGTGTTCTCAGAACCCAGAGTGATAGTTTCTTCTGACTGCAGGCTGTGGACAGGGAGGAAGGGATGTTCCCCTGGGAACAGCCGTGGTTTCCAGCGATGCCACCTCAGCACTCTCCCGCCAAAGGATGTCAGAGCAACTCCCAGCCCCCCAGCTGGGACACTGGTAACTCCTCCCATCCACAGAAAGTTTCCCGTGGATGCCTTCCACATTTCTATTCAGCTACAGATGACACACGGCAACACAAGAAGTTATCCTTTATTTGTGATGTCCAGCTTTAAATCACAAGAGAATTGATTCCCTTTTAAAAACACATCAACATCTCCACCTACTAAACCAAGATGCATATATGGACGAAAATCTGACAAAATCAGTTTGAGAAGAGATTATGCAGTTAGATCCTACCACTTAAGGACCCAAGTATTTCCAATGAAGTCAATAAGCAGAACAAAAAGGAAACACAGTTTCCTTTATCTAAAAAACCCAGAATGTGATTAAGCACATAACTGAATGGGAATTGGACATTTAACTCCATTCAAATCCTTTTAAAGTTTCACCCTGAAATAACAGTAAATAATAGCTCATGCAGTGGCAGATAAGGAGCCCTGCAGAGTTGACTTCTAGCTCATCCAATGCTGCCTTGAATTAAAAAAAAAAAAAAAAGTATTTCAAAGATTTTCTGCAAGTAATTCACTGAATTAAGTCTTGAATAAAATCTACGTGTGAATTTCAGTGAGGGGCTGGCAGCTCTCTGAAAATTTCTGAATATTCTGGCATCAGATTATACTTTTATGTTTTTATGAACATTCTGTTGCCATTCAAACCTCAGATTCTACTCCAAACTTTATTTAATTTATTAATTTCAGGTCAACCGCCACTCCCTTTTTGTCTTAAAACTCTAGAGTGAAATATGTAATTCATAAATTTTGAAAAAAATAAAAATAAAAATACAGAATAGTCACACAAGACTCAGCTCCCCAATTTTGCCTCAGCAGAAAGTTGTGGGGAACCAAAAACCCCCATTCTTGTGGGAACAAACCAAACTAATCTGTACACACGGCTGGCTGCCTGTGACCCACTAAAAAGAATTATTTGCTTAAGCAAACCTAAATCTTACTTATGAGATGAGGGCTCAAATTTTGTGCATTAGAAAAACCTGTCAAAAGGCATGGGAGTGCCCAGCCTGCAAAACCAAGACTGACTCCAGTGTGCCAAGGGGAGCACTTAAGAGAGCTCTGATACCTGAGTTAGAAACAAAAAAAAACAAAGCACCACCAAAAGTCAGTTCTAGCAGGACTCCTCTGTGTCCTAATTCACCCTAAAGCTACAGGAGCATAGTGTGTCCTCCAAGGAGGAGCTGGAAGAAGTTCTTGGTAATTCAAAAGAGAAAGCAGGATAAATCTCTACTTGCAGCTACCTAGACAAATATATTGCTCGCATGTTTACACACTCAAGGGAACCTGCCAGCTGCTTTTTACAATTTTTATAAGCACTTCATGGGTATCTCAACACAAAGTGAACATATGAGAGGCACAAATACCATGAGGCATATCACAGTTTCTCCCAACTTAATTTTCTTACGTGGTTCAGCTTGAACTTTGACATGACTGGGATGGAGCAGGGAGGGAGGGACACGCTGAGCACCTAGAAATTAGGTTTGCCTGAAAACAGCCCTTTTAGCAAATCCCTAATGACTGATTTCCAATACTGACCTTACAAATTGCTTTCACAAAAAAAACCAAAAACTCTTCCAACAACACTTTACTTTCACCATCTTTTGAAGGAGCACTCCTCCTCAAACATCCATTGTGTTCATGTGCAGAACAGCTAAGCTATGAATAGATGAGTAAAACAAACAAGGAGAGTGAAGTACTGAAAAAAGCTGCTTTGCCAAAGTGTTTTCACCCTGCCCATATGGTTTAGGATGCTTTTGTTCCTTACTCTTCATTAAACTCTCCAAGGCCATCTCACTGGGATGCTGCAAACCCTCCTCCCGGCACGGTGCCTCCCAGCAATGAAGGGGCTTCTATTTGCCACCAAAGGACTCATCTCATTCATTTAAACAAAAGCCATCTGTCTTCTCCGAGCGTTCCCAAGGAATAATGGCACCAAAACTCAAAGTATATTAGCTAAGAAATTATCCATGACAGTTTGAAAGCTGTACAGCCTCTTGTAAACTAAAGTGAACTTAACCCCACCACACGCGAAACGCAGGGCTGGCTGGGGGGCACAAGGGGAATAAGAATAATGTCAAACAAATCCTTCAAATGTTAAAATATACATACACATATATAACCCAAGAGTAAAATGAGAGATCAAATAATTTCCCTTTTTAGAATTTCTCTGTCTCAAACAGGATAACTTATTCTGAATCCCTCACCACCACTTAACTCCTGTCCCCTTCTTTCTGCAGCAATTGGATTTGCAATCCATTGCCCCCCAGTATAAGGCAGCTGAGTCTACAGCCAGGCACTATACAGGACACTAAAGTTGCAACCTCCATGCTGGGGGAAAAAATGTGCTGCTTGTTTTCCAGAGGTCTAAAAACAGCCACGTGCCATTTTCCATCAGCAGAGCACACTTTGGGACAGCAACACATGATGCTTTGCAAGGTACACAGCAAACGCCAGCCAAGCCAACAGTACGACTGACCCACGTCAGTCAGGAATTTCTCCAGGGGCCTTCCCGCCCCCCAGAAGGTGCCCTTTCACCCTAGAGACAGCCTGCTCTGGGCTAACACTCCACCTTCTACCTGAAGGGAAATCTCTAGTCCCATGTCATTCCTAAAAAAAGGAGAAAAAACCTTCTACCAAAAAGGCTGAAGACATGTTTCCAACTGAAACTGCACCCTGAAGTCACTGAAATGAAGGTAAAGCTCTCAATTTTACCGGGATTTTGTTCCATGACGTTAACTGTGTGCAATTATAAACTCATCTGTTTCACTCCATCTTAATGTGGACCTAAGAGGATTACCTGCAGACCTAAGAAGATCTCCAAACCCCACAAGAAGTCCATGCAGTGGCACTCACAGCATTATTTGCCTGTTGTCACTGTGCCACAGCCACAGCATTTATTCCGTCTGTGTGAGCAGTATGGCATTACAGTCTGTGAGTGCTGAGAAAACCTCCAGTACATGGACAAAACCAACTAATGTGAAACCTTTACAAGCAAACCAGAACACTATAACCGTGTGGGTTGTTTTGAAGCACAGGTTTGTGCTGCTAAATCCAAGGAGGTGGCCGGAAACTCGTGGGAGATGCAGCTGCTCTGCTGTGCATTCTGCAGCACATCCCTAAGAAAACACCGGGCTGGGAAGGTCACGGACGCTGATGTTTCATCACTGTTGTCTACATCAGAATCACTTGGCAGAATGATTAAACACAAAAAAAAACTGAGTAAGAAAAACCATCAAGTTATGCATGAAAAATGAGATTATGGCATCAGAACGAAGGGCGCTGCAAATATGCTGACCAGGAAATCACTTCAAAGTGAACTGTGGTAAATGTGGCTTGGCTCCGCTGCTTGAGAAAGATGTATTTTCTATTTATGGTACATATTCATTTTTTTGTAATGTTTATACTCCATCATTCAGGCTGAAAGGGCACAGGGAGGTGACAAGTCAGAACAAGCATGCCTTGTCTGGCAGAGAAAGAAGCCCCTCTACACATTTCCAAACATGACCACCACTACCGTGGACATTTACACACACACAGCCACACACAGGGGAAAACAGGAGTGCAAAACTTAAAACAGCAAATAAGCCATGACAATATGGTCAGGCAGAATAGGCCCCTGAAATAAATTAAGCATAATAATTTTACACTACAGACATGTGAATGTGGCGTATCCTGAAATAACAATGTCTCGGAAAGGCACGGTTGGTATTTTCTACACCAATAAGGACTACCAACATGTGTGGCTTGGACAGCCAGGACTTCAGGTGCATCTTACATGCCAGTAGCAGGTAAGGGTTTGGTAGAGTGTTAGGACACAGAGTAGGAACTATTAAAAAAGATATTATAGTGGCAAAACTCAAATCATCCCTGGCCTGTGCTGGGCAGTGGAGGGAACAGCCCAGTGGGACACAACAGGAGGCTGGAGGTAGTCTAAAGATTCTGTTGGTTATTGCTCCTTGATACAAACTCTAGCCAGCAATTCCAAGCCCTTTCGATTCTATCAGCACCTCCAGGGGCTGGCACTGCCACGCTGAGCCCAAGGCAGGAAAGGAGAGTTATTTTATTTTATACTTTTTCAAAAAAAGCATCAGGCAGCCAGACACAGCAATCAAATTTTTACAATGCATTAACCCTCAATTTAAAACACTAAAAATAGTGTTTACCTTTCTGGTACAAAAAAACCCCCAGCATCACAAAAACAGTAAGGAAACTTCTCCCTGAGAAGCTGCAGCACTCAGGGGTCTCTGCATCCTCTCCATTCAAGAAGGTCAGAGCCACCTTCTGCTCCAGTGAGAGCCCCAAACCTAACCTAATACTGGAAGAAAACAGTCTAACTCAGCCTCTTGGGTTTAGGCTACACTCCTTTTCTAGACTATATTTCAGCCTATAAACCCCAGGGCTCACACGAGCTGCTGCACGACCAACCCTAACTACTCTTCATCCAAGTGATTTTAGAATTATTGTCTGTATATGGGCACTGCCCCCACTCAGGGCAGACCCCACTGCATGGTGCTAGCTCAAGACCCCACACCCCAGACTTCTACACCTCCTCCTCCACATCCCTGGTCCCCCAGCCCCTGCGGCGCCAGGGCGACTCACGCGGGTCGAAGCAGGGTCCCTTGCTGTCACCAGCTCTCCTGCGGATGCAGCTCCTCCAGAGAAGCTGTTGAGCCCACCAGAAGCTTCCTCCTGGGACAGAGGATCTCCCCCAGGACACGAGGCTCCTCCTGCACCCTCACCCCAGAGGTCCACCCCCTGCTCCTCCTTCCTGGCTGACAGTTTGTGCAGCCCATGGCATTTGACAGGGCTTTCTCCACTCCACAGGGAGCTGGTTAACCCTTTCCTTGGAACACCAGTCGTGCCAATTTTGCCATCTAAGGAATCCTAGTGCCTTCGCTCCCACTGCTACTGCCCCAAATTCAGTTGAAAACCACAGTAAATGCACCCTCCATGCCAGAACCTGACATTTTTGGCTTCAGTGCTTCCTGTCAGACAGTTCTGCTTCAAAGATACCCGCTGCAGTGACCTTTCAACAGCTTCTCTGCAATCACTTGTTCTTCAGACAACCATCATCTCCCATCTCTCTAAAGTTGCCATTACAAGGCCAGTTTTTCAAAGTTGTAATAATTTACCATCTAATCCTCAGCTGTGCAAAGGTTACTGTCACAGAAAACGAGCTGGCTCAGGTTTCCATCAGTGTTTAAAAAAATGCTACTTAAGTCTGCAAATTGAAATATAACATCTAATTAGGAATCCTCTGATTAATCATTATGCTTCGCCATCTTGGATATTGTTTTGATAAGTAAGGCTTAGGAGCCTTGCAAAGTTTTAATTACCAATATTCCAGATGCCTAAGAGGTGTACACATTGCTTCTCTGGGTGCACGGAGCAGTGAGAGATTGATGTTCTCCGTGGCTCCAGATGCACAAATACGTTCCCAGTAACAACAGCTAAGCATGGCTGATATCAGGTACCAGACTGGTATCACATGCAGGAGACAAGGATCCAGAGCCTAAAATTAGAAGAGCCTCCTGCAGCCACCCTGTGAAGCTCTAGAGTCCAAGGAGGTGTCCCCTAAGCTGCACACACAGGTGGCATTTAGAGCACATCTGAAGGACCACACACCAAAACAAAGCCAAAACCCCTTGTGCCAAAGGCAATAACACTGCGATAAAGCACCACAATGTGGAACAATTGGCTATAGAATCATGGAGTAGTTTGGGTTGGAAGGGACCTTAAAGATCAATTCGTTCCAACCTCCCTGCCATGGGCAGAGACATCTTCCACTACAGCAGGTTGCTCCAAGCCCTGTCCAACTTGACCTCAAATAACAAGGAATTAGGCAAGAAACTGCCTTGAGCCATCAAACCTCTCCCATGTCTCTGAGAAGCTGGAGCCCATGGTGTGGTGCAGAGTGCAGTCAGCAGCCAGCAACCCATGGCTGCAAATACTCACCTCCCTGCAAAGCCACAGGGAGCTGCTCCAGCCACAGGGACAAACTGAGCACTTTCTGAGGCCTTCCATGGTTTCAAAAATGATTTCTGAGTAGCTCTGTGTTGAAAGCAACACTCTAAGAAGAGCTAAACTACCAGGCATCAGTTAATTGGAAAGATTCAGCTTTATCAAGCTACAAATGTCAGCTTGCACAGTTTACACAAAAATGGGATAAAGCTGCTTCCCCTCTTTGGATGTGGTTTCCTGCTCTCAGAAAGTCACAGCAAGGACATTCCCCTGTGTCTGATGATACTGACTTCAACTTTTAAATTCCCTCTTGAGCAGTTTGAATTCTCCCTCTCCCTCCAGGTCAGCATCATCCCAGCTGGCCAGTACAGCAAGCTACAAGAGTACCAACTTCCCAGTATCCTGGTCTTCAGTGGTGGGAAAAGACAGATACTGAACAATACAAACTATACCTACAAAAATTACATTGCACATAAACCCCTCATCTGGCACAGGTGAGTGTTTGGTATCTGGTGACACCATCTCTATACCCAGTGTGAGGGATCAGCACACAGCACATCAGAAGATGCAATTCCCACCTGGAGCAGTGTTTGCTGCCAGCAGGATTTCACAGCACCACATCTCAGAGATTCACAGAATGGTTTGGATTGGAAAGGACCTTTAAAGGCCATCCAGTCCAGTCCAACCCCCTGCAGTGAGCAAGGACACCTTCCACTATGCCAGGCTGCTCAGAGTCCAATCCAACCTGCCCTTCAACGTTTCCAGGGATGGCACATCCACCACCTCTCTGGGCAACCTGTGCCCATGTTTCACCACCCTCAGCACAAAAAATTTATTCTAGTCTGATTCCCTAAACCTCTTGGAGAAGGCAAGTGGTCTCAAATACCTTTCAAAATCAATCAGTTATTACTAAATCTCATTTGGGGAGATTTTTTGCTCATAACAAGCAGTTAGATAAAAGGAATAGAAACTAATTCTGAGACCATGCTTTTGGAGACTGAGAGATGGATCTGCTCAATGTATCTCCTATGTAAGCCTAACTACTCTTTCTACAATATAGATGCAAGAAATGAATCTGTAGCTAATCTTTGCCAGTTTTAGTGCAGCTTTTTTTCAAGGATTACCCTTGTCCTGTGCCAAATGTGCAGACTGCATCTTCTGGTGATGCACCAGGGCCAAACCACACAGCTCACCTTCTTCTTTGGTAGCAATTAGATGGAAAGAAGTGCTTGGGAAAATCTTTGCCAAACCAGTCAGTGTGATTTAATCTACCTTGAAGAAAACCTCCTGCACCTCTTGGTTTCACTCAATCAAGTAGAAGAGAGGAAAACCACCACTGCCAAAGCCTTTGGCAAGTCCCATTTCTCTGCAGTCAGTGATTTGTAATCCAAGAGCATCTTACAGACTCAGGAGTTTTCTCAGGCATTTGCAGCCTAGCTCATGTAGACAAACACATTTATCATCTGGAGTGAGGGTGTTGGAGAGGGGATTTTAGCCAGTGCAGACATTACTTTAAACTGACTAGTTCTCCAGTCTAACTCACTGAAAATGCAGCAAACCCATTACCCTGGTTCCTGCCTGGGGATACCAGACCTTGCTGAGTTCCCAAATGCACATCTAAAGCTCCCCTGGCTGACTCCAAAACTAGATATTGCTATCTTTGCCCTTTTGTACCTTCAGAGAATTTGCTACACATACAAACAGAGAGAATCTGGGCTGGAAATCCAAATCAAACACCCTCCACTGCATAAAAAAGCATTTAAACTGTAACCTAAAAGTTAGTCCTTTTAGTTTTGTGGGAAACTTCATAGATCACAGAATCACAGAATTGTTTGAGTTGGAAGGGAACTTAAAGTCCATCTCATTCCAACCCCTACCATGGGCAGGGACACCTTCCACTAGCCCAGGTTGCTCCAAGTCCCCTCCAACCTGGCCTTGGACCAGTTTGTCTGGGGACTTGGGTGACGGCTTCCAAGTGGAGGAGGGGAGATTTAAATCAGGTATTAGTAAGAAATGCGTTACTGTGAGGGTAGTGAGGTGCTAGAGCAGGTTGCTCACAGAAGCTGTGAATGCCAACTTGATCCAGTCTGAGAAGTCCTCATTTAGAGGGCAAGACTAGAGCGAAGGTTTTTCCCTGCTCATTCTTCCAAGTTTTATGTATTTGTGGCTGCTGGAGATAAAATCAATGACAAAGGTCACTGAAAATATTTGATGCAGCTGAATCACAGTCAAACACAACTATTCCAACTGTGGAATTACAAGCCTACACATAAACCTGCAACAGGTTTGTGTCCCCCAGACCTCAGATACCTCAACAACACAGCACTCGCATCAAAACAAGCTTTGAAACCTTCAGGTGCCATAATCCAGTCGAAATTAAGGACATGTACTCACACAGGTTACTTTTCGGTAGATTTGAGCAGCATTCTGGCATTCTGAGTAAGGGTATTCTGAGGTAGCCATTTCCAACATGCACATTCCAAACGCATAGACATCCACAGATTCATCGTAGTGTTCCTCATACATTTCTGGGGCCATGAATTCTGGTGTACCTACACAGACACACACAAAGAGAAAGTCCATTTTTAATAGGAGTCTGAATGGCTTTAACCACAAGCTTTTTCACCTGTAAGAAATGTACCCAGTACAACTGTGCGTGGGCCCGTGCCAGGTTATTTCAAAGGAGCTCAAGCATCCTCCAGGGAAGAAATCCAAAGTCAACACACAGATTTACATGCCCGTGGCTTGCTGGTAATAATCCAAAAGGGGAAGGGGAGAGTGAGGGGGAAAGAAAAATTAAGAAAAAATATAAAAATTTTAAAAATGAACAAGAAAATGAGCTATGCCCTACTGCCTGCCCACACTGCAAGTGATGGAATGGTTCCTGCCTGGGTGGAGAGAGGGATGTGTACAGGCTTGGGGATGTGAAAAGGGGAGAAGGAACAAGAACCTCTGCTCATTTTTATCAATGCAAACTTGCATTTTTTTGTTTCCTCCAGATATGCAGTGCAACCCCCGGCAGACAGACAGCACTTTGAAAGCCAGTAGTACCACAGATCACCTACAGAGTCACGCACAAAACATCAAACCTAATTCTGTCACTGGTTTAGTGGGACAAATCAATGAGGCTACTCACAGAATAAGGTCCTACTCAACAGGGATTAGGATGTCAGAAATCTGATGCAACTGGGTAAATACATGGCTCCCTAACAGGGAGCTGCAGCTTTGGGACAAGCAGCAACTTACAGCACCTGTAGCATTTGCTCAGCAAACTACGCTGAAAAGGGTGAGCTTATAAAGCAAAAAGGGAAACTATTAACACTTGGATCATTTATTCCAGGAATTGTATCTCATACTGCAATTCATGCTTAGGAGTCATGCCTAGTTTATTCCCTTTTTTACATGTAGAAAAGACAAAGGAAGAGGGATCAGTGCGGTTGCATGCTGTGGGAGAGGAGCAGCAAGCTGTCAGGATGCCAAAAGGATGTGAGAAGTCTCGGACCATGAGAAGGACCCAGATAAACTCTGCCTGCCCAACCTCAGCACCCAAACTGCCCCCAGCCCTGGCAGATACCATCAGTAATACCGGTATTGTGAATAATTCCAGTAGTAATGCTTGTTATTACTTTGTTATGACATCTCTACATCAGCAGCAAAAGCACAACTGTAATTAAAGTAACATGTAATGAGAGGAAATAGTTCTTGCATATAGAATCACAGAATGTTTTGGACTGGAAGGAACCTTAAAGCCCATCTTGTTTCAAATGCCCTGCCATGGGCAGGGACACCTTCCACTAGCCCAGCTTGCTCCAAGCCCTGTCCAACCTGGCCTTCCACATTTCCAGGGATGGGGCAGCCACAGCTTCTCTGGGCAACCTGTGCCAGGGCCTCGCCACCCTCACAGTAATGTGTTTCTTCCTAATATTTAATCTAAATCTCCCCCCCCAGCTGGAAGCCACCATCCAAGACCCCAAACAAGTTGTGGAAGTCCCATCCCTGGAAGTGTCCAAGACTAGGTTGGAGAGGACTTGGGAGGAACCTGGTCTAGTGGAAAGTGTCCCTGCCCATGGAAGAGATTGGAATGAGATGATCTTCAAGGTCCCTTCCAAACCAAAGCATTCTGTGGCTCTAGGGCTCCATGACTTGTCCTAAACTTTTTTTATGGCAACACAAAAGATGACTCCCAAAATTAGGGTCTACCAGTTAAAAACTCTGCTTCTGCACATTTTCTGCAGGAGACTCAGCCTAACTCACAAAACAAGCCTCAGCACACGCATTGCTGTAAAATTCATTTTGCAAAATGTAGGACTGATCCCTTCCCTCGTTTGTGTCCCTTCCACCTCAAAGACACTCGTTCCTCTAGTCTTGGTCAATCAGCTGGACTTGTGTCACAGAAGCTCAGCCTAGTGCCTGCTCCCTGGGTGTTTCTTCCAGCTGTCACCCAGGCAGAGGCTGCTGCTCAGAACGGGTTAACAGCTGCCACAGGGAACAGTTCTGGAGCTGCTGCCTTGTTTTAGAAGGAACACTACTCAGCAGCAGGAGCGAATCTCATGAATTACAGAGCATTTAAAGCAAATCTGAAAATGTGACAGCAATAGTCTAAGAAGCAAATGGAATTCTTGACACCGTTCCAAAACAGCACAAAAATGACATTTCCCCCCATTCCTTGGGGTGGGGAAGGAATCCATACAAGTATCCTTCAACAAAACAGAGCACCTAAACGTAAAGCTGTTCAGCATCCCCTCAGCTCCTCTTGGCAGGACGAGGTTTGCCCTGGCTCAGCTCCCACAGAGACACTGCAAGGTCAGGGTAGCACCAGCAACGGCACGGGCACAGCAAGGGAGGAACTGGCCCCCAGCCATGCTGATTTCATCCCTCCAAGCCAATGTAAAATTGCAGCTACTAATATGCCTTTAAAGCTGCTACCTCTGCAGAGCAGGCAGAATCACTCATCACCAGTGTTTCCAAGCCTTCCTAATTCTCTCCCTGGAGCAGCACTACCCACGAAAACGATAAGCTCGGTTTTATTGCCAAAATGAATGCAGCCACATTGCCAGCATCCTGCAGCCCTTTCAGTATCCAATTCCTTTTCAACAGGAGTGTATTTTGACGGTGTTGTGTTCACAACTAATTTTACAAAAACCTGTATTGCTATTACTAATATTCTTCCCAATAATGGTATTACTGATATTACTCCTTGTATTGGTGCTACTGATACTATACCCAGTATTGGTATTACTGGAATTATTCACAGTACTGGTATTACTGGTCTTATTCCCAGTATTGGTATTACTTACATTATTCCCACTATTGCTATTACTGATATTATTCCATTATGTCCAATGGACAATTGTTATCCTGCAAAACAATTATCTGAAGAATTACTGACCTTCAACAGAAAAAAGACCATCAATTATTAGAAGTTAAAAACCAGAGAAACTTAACAAATATAAACCAACATGACTTCACTAAAAACCATGAGGTTAAGCAGACCTAGAGCAGCCAAGCATATATCCAAAATTTCTATCTTTTTGACTTCAATGATACTGGGCTCCCTAAGCATTAAGGACAACATTTTTGTGCAAATAATTATACAAGAATAATAATATCTGAAAATTTGAGATGCTAAAACAATTATTTAAGCAACTGGTGCCGGAAAGATAAGGTGCTATTTTCATAGCTAGTCAGGGACCAGTGGCTGTCACTATCAGTTTGCCAACTCTTACTGACTAGAATCTAATTTCCATTTATATTGTAAGCTGAAATACATGCATGGTATCTCCTCTTCCCCTTCCAGCAGCATTACTCAGGAAATTGCAGCTTCCCAGAAACATCACCTGCAGGTCTGAACTAGGGAGACTGGATACAGAAGCTTCTTTGGGTGAAAAAGACAAACTGAGAATTCAGGAAAACATGACATTTGCACCCAAAACACTCACTGTAACTTTTGCAAGGGAATGATGTCCTTCCACAGTCATTCGGAAAATCTTCTCCCAGTTCAAGCAAACCCCAGTTCTAACACTTCTCACATGGGCACCAACCCAGGGCATTGGATACAGCATATCACATCGTTTGGGTGGGAAGGAACCTGAAAGCTCATCTCATTCCACCCCCTGCCATGGGCAGTGACACCTTCCACTAGCCCAGGTTGCTCCAAGCCCTGTCCAATCTGGCCTTGAACACTTCCAGGGATGGGGCAGCCACAGCTTCTCTGGGCAACCTGTGCCAGGGCCTCACCACCCTCACAATGAAGAATGTCTTCCTAACATCTAAGGTAAACCCACCTTCCTTGGGTTTAAGGCCATAAACCCCTGTCCTATCACTGCAGGGCCCTGCAAAATGTTGCTCTCCTGCCTTCTTGTAGGTCCCTTAAGGCACTGAAAGGAATTCAAGTGAAAATTTCTTTACATTTTGTAGCTGCTTATTATTTTTTTAATAACTTGCAGACTTAGTTTCAGCAGACCCTGCCAGGGTGTGGGCAGGACGAGAGCTGCAGCCTATCCTGTGGCTGCCCCAGCACTGGGCTATGATGTTCCAGCCAGCCCAGCTCCCCACAATCTCCCTGGAAAGGAGAGAGGCACCACAGCCTCTCCTTTCAGCAGCAGCAGCAACCAGCCCCATCCCAGCACCACTGGAGGCAGAAGAATTCCCAGGGCTTTCCCAGGTTTCTGCTGCGTTCCCTCGCTAGGGAGAGCACAGGGTATCCTTCCATCCTTCCTCTTCCCCATCCTTCTGATTCTCCCTCTAAGCAGGCACGGAGCCTGTTTTCAAAGGGGGACACACACAGGCTGCTGAACGCTCGCTGCTCCTTTTGAGGGAGAGAGAAGGATTTGTGGATCCCAAGTAAAACTCCATTTAACGAGCCAAGGAAAAAGTGCTTTACCACTGTGATACAGCAGGAAAGAGAAGAGGAAGTTAGGATATCATTATCTACTGACTCCTATTTTTATAGTAGTATAAAGGCAACAGTCCTAAACATACTCTAACCTCTACTATCAACTTAAAGTAAAAAAACCAACTAATGCAAAATGGGAAAGAAAGATATTAAATAGACAACCACGACACCGACCGAGGGAAGCCAAGGAGGACAGGAGCATTACCTATTACACTTTTGGCAAACGAAGCTCTCTTGAGGGTTGCCAGACCCAAGTCTCCTATTTTCACAGATCCAGTTGGTCCAGTAATAAAAATATTGTCACATTTCAAGTCTCTGTGAATTATTGGTGGAGTTCTCGTGTGCAAGAAAAGAAGACCCTTCAGGATCTGCCGGCACCAACTCCGCAGGACTTTTGGTTTCATCACTTTGAATCTCTTCAGATACCTAGAGCACAAACATACACACAAGTGGGTATAAAGGAAATGAAAACATTTTATTAGAGATTCCAGGGGCTTTAACAGCTGAAACTCCACTATGGATAAAAGCCCCTTATTAGATGCCATAATAGCAGCACAGAAGTATCCCAAAATTGAAAGAAATAGATCTTTTCAAAGCAGGAATTAGAGCATTCAATTTTAGGGAGGAAGATAATAAGCATTTTTGCTGCAAATACAACCAAATATTTGCAAGTTTAATAGTTCAGCAATTTATTTCATGCAGAGAACAGCTTTAGAATATGTTCATATGCTCAAATCAGAACCACACTGCAGTTTAACTTTAATCACAAGACTTTGACCTCTGTATCATACATCTGCATTTCTTTCCATTTACCTGAGGCACTGATTGGGAGGGGACTTTTGGGGAAGATGTAGGACCTGCTAATGCACTGGCAGAGGAGCACACTGGCTGAGTACTGCTCCCATTGGGGCTGAAAATCTGTTCCAGAATTCATGCCAACTGCTTTATATCAACCTTAACAAGACTGTCAGTACCAGAAGCTATTAATTAATATTGTTTAGGAGATAACCTAGAGCACCTTCTGCTTCTAAAAGCGATTCTACCATTCAAGTGCTATTCCGCTTGAATTTCCTAACAAAACATGCAAACACAAGCACAAAAAGCAGGCACAAAACACACCCCGACAAATCCAAACGTCACAGGCGGAAAATGAAACAAGCCAGAGAACAGCTCCGAGTTGCATAACCGAGACAGAGGAGCAGGAAAGGGAGATGGAGGCCAAAATCCTGTCTGTCAAACCACTGCGGTTCAAATGCAGGGACAAATGACAGGCACCAGAGAACAGCTCCATTTTTTGCTTTTATCTGGAGATGGCTTTTTTCAGCACATGAAAGTAGGATTTTGCTATAAATTCCCAGTGCTATTCTTAGCCCCCCTCGCCGGGAGCACAGTACTTACGTCTTCAGCGTTCCAGAGGTCATCAGCTCGGTAACCAGCACGATGCATCTCTTGCCTTTCGCACACGACTCCCAGAAGTCGTAAAACCTCACGATGTTTGGGTGCTGTAGACCTTTCAACATTTCTGCTTCCTCTTTAAATCTCTGCCTCTCCACTTTTGTGAGCTTTCTGTCCTATAAGCCAAAAGGGAGACATTATTAGTGGTGACGGACAAAAAATAAAGGCACTGCATTGCCAGGGTATTCAGAGTTTTAGATTTGTTTTATGCTTGTGTCAAGAGCAATTATAAAATCTTTTATGTAAGAGATGAGCAGCATGGATGAACTAGGGCACTTGCCCTAAATCCAGTGTCAAGAAGACAAAGAGATGCCTGTGCTACGCCATGCTCATGACAGCACTAATATTTCAGGCACCGTGAACACACCCACGGATTGATGGATCAACCCTCAGCTATTTCTTCATGTTTGGGTTTTGTGAGGCTCATTATCCAAGGGATTATTACCCACAGGATTTCATTTCCAGGTATGAATGTTCTCCCAGCTGGGATGGCTCCCTCCACCCACAGCTGCTCCTGGATGCTCCGGCAGGGACCACCAGCTGAGGTCCCCGCTCACCACACAGGCTCTATAGCCCAGCCTGTTTATCTTGGGGTAAATTAAAACCATACCACCCTCTAAAAATACTCAAACACATCCATTTTCCTATGTGTTTGCTGTTCTGCCTAATTTTACAGACTTTTCCCTTTTTTTGGCAAAGGAAGTGTTTCTTCAGTCTCTTCCATAGGCTGCTCACACAGGGAAACACTTTAGATTAGAAACGTGAAAATGTCATGTTCTACTACTCTGGTTTTCCTATGGAATTTCAGGGCACTTCCCATAAGCTCCTGGCTATGACATGGCCCTGCCCAGCCCATGCAGAGCCTCCCTCCCCCTCCCACAGCCCAGCAGAAGCTCCTGGGCTGCCTGGACCTCACCAGCACACGGAGAACGCCAACAGGCAGCTTGGATACTCACTCTGACCTCTTTAGACAATGAAACAGAGCAAAAGGGGAGATCCACCCCAGACCCCACCACCACGCCTGCCTGGTTTGCCCCCCAGGCAAAGAACTGCTCTCCCCTGCCCAAGAAATGGAGATTTTGGGGTCTTAAAGCCCAGTCGTGTAACTGCTCTTACTCAAAGAGCCAAAGGCTCACCAATCACCAAGATTAATGAGCTCATGTTTTAACCTCAGACATCTTTCCTGTCTTGGGTCATTCAGGCATGTCTACGCAAGCTGTGCTCTTATACACGTGGATTGAATCTAATGGGAACCCAGCTGATCTGTAGCCAAGCTGCAGAGGGATCAGTTCCTGTCCATCTCCACAGCCTGCCCTCACCCACAATCCCAAACAATGCAAGATGGGAACAAGAATTCCCACGGCTACAAACAAGTCAGCTTCACGCAGAGACTTCCCAAGAGCTGGAACCACGATTTGGCTCTTCCTGGATGACAGAAACCCTGCCCCTAGTGCTGTGTGTGCATGGGGGGAGCGTTTCCATTTACACCAGGGCTGCTGAGGGGGTTCTCAGTCCTCTCTGCGATTCAGGGAGCAGCATGAGAGCTGACACTGTCCCGAAGCAGCAGCAGCCATCGGGGTGGGCAGGTGCCTGTGGGTTCCAGTGCCTGGGTCCCCCAGAGCAGCCAGGAGCACCCCCTGCCCTCCACGGGGACAGCAGGCAGCAGCAGACAGAGAGCCCACAGCTGAGAGCCAGGCAGCAGCTCTGCTGCTCTGGATCAGCTGACTTTTTTATAAGGTACAAGAAAAGAAAAGGGAGGGGGGAAAAAAGGCAGGCTGTCTAAATGAGCCAGGCCAGAAGAGCCCCGGAATTGCTCTCAAATCCATCACTTCTTCCCTGCTGCTGAGTTTCCTCCTAATTTAAACCCTGTAGAATAAATCACACACTGCTATTAGGGAGGAGAAGGAGTGAGTCCCTGTGAAGGCAAGAAGAGCAGAGTGGGAGCCAGCAGAGAAAGGGAAAGGCAGTCACACAGATCCAGCAGATTTGCAAAAACTTTTCAATTTAAAAAAATAAAAAAAGTAATACCATAGTCTTTTACTCTTATTTCCAGAACTGTGAGAACTTTTCCGCCACTACTTGAATTGTAACTTTTAAAAATATCCTTCAGTAGACAATCATATTCTGTATATTCTACATATTATGAGCGTAGATCATTTGGGCAACTGCAACAAAGTGATTGTGGAAGACAAATGTGTGCTTTATCTGTTAACTACAATAGAAAGAATCTGGATTTTTTGCATCAGAATGACAGCTAAGCATCATCCTCTAGCTGGAGAGGCAAGGTGAGGGCCAGGGCAGAGCAGCCACTCCTGCTGGCTGCAGCCTCCACCACGGGAGGAGTCCCTGCTGCCATAAGGGCTCAACCACCCTCCTCTAAATCCCTCCAGGCTGAACCTGACACATGAGTCGCTGGTGAAAGCATAAGCTGACTGACAGGGCTTAACAGTTGAAGTGTTTTCTACTCTGAAGAAGCAAAACCACCTGTTTAACTGCGTGACTCAGGGTTTAATCCAAACCCAAGAAACCTTTACTGAGGTCACAGACACTTATTCCCCACCATACAATCCACACAAGGTGAAATGTCCTCATCCCAAAGCTAAGGGTATAAGCCTGAAACAACCTTTGGGCATTACACATTTAAGCTGGAGAACAGGATTCTTTGGAAAGGTCATGCCAAGGAAAGGTAATCACAGACTCATGGAATGGTTTGGGTTCGAAGTGACACTAAAGATCATCTGGTTCCAATCCCCCTGCCATGGGCAGGGACACCACCAGGTTGCTCCAAGTCTCATCCAACCTGGCTTAAATCCACTCAACAAGACTTAAGGCATCTTTTGCATAACTCAGATTTATCAAAATTTGGGCGAATAAAGCGTGTTTCCAGATTCACCCAAGGAGTCAAAACCTCTGTGCTCTCTGCAGCAGCAGATGTGTCCAACCTCTGGACAGGAGACTCAGGGATGCCGAGATACACACGACAGCCCTGGTCCTCCATGGTTTCCCAAGTGCAACAGCAGCATCCCACTGAGTGACAAACCAGCTCCACTGCAGTCATGGCACTGCTACCCTGGGCTTCCTCGAGGCATGAGCCTTGAGACTCACAATGCATTCTTCTCAATGTGACCCAGGTGATATCAGTATCAGCTTGCAGGTATTGACACATCTCCCCGCATTTTAAGGCAATCACACCCCTTGGCTCTTTCCCTCCTTGCTGGGACACAAAGTCCAGGCTCAGGAGGCAACACTGTAATTCCATTTCAAAGAACTGGAAGCTGCCCAAGTCCACTACTCAGCACCAAGGTAAAATAAAATCCAACCCTCCAAAGCCCACAGCAATCACACTGAGCTGGCTCAGCTTTGCCTGGCAAACTGGAGATAAACAGAACTGAGCAAGATGCAAGACAGCAGCTCATTTTGAGTTACTGCTAGGAGAGAATCTGGACATTTAACTGGTTTCCCTGTCTTAATAAACTGTGAGGAATACTCTTGCCCCTCTGCTGAGACTTTGACATTTTCTGATCACAGCTCCTGGGCTCCTGTGCCTCTCTGCTTACAGAGCTCTCCTGGGGGCACAGCCCACATGAGCTGCTGCTCACAGTGCACCTTGGGCACAGCACCCCTGTCACAGACACTGTCCTGTCACACAGACAGTCCAGAGGGCTTGGGCTCCCTCATTTCACCTTTCCTACAGGTAAATACCATCAATGGGGCTGGGGTTATACAATGGATGCTGCATCATGACATGCAATCTGGCAGGTAGGTGTTAAACCAGTGGTCAGAAGTGGTTCTACATTGTGAGCTGCCTTTTCTTCATTCCTTCTCTTGGTTTTCCTGTTTCAAATCAGATTATAAATGCCCGCTCAGTCTTAAGCATCAAACCACTCAAAGCTATGCATTTGTTCTTTTCAAAGAATAAACAATTCTGAAGGAGCTGAAGGAGGGTAGATTTAGATTGGATATGAGGAAGAGATTCTTCCCTGTGAGGGTGGGGAGGCCCTGGCACAGGTTGCCCAGAGAAGCTGTGGCTGCCCCATCCCTGGGAGTGTCCAAGGCCAGGTTGGACGGGGCTTGGAGCAACCTGGGCTAGTGGAAGGTGTCCCTGCCCATGGCAGGGGGTTGGATGAGATGAGCTTTAAGGTCCCTTCCAACCCAAACCATTCTGGGATTTCATGAATTCCCAGTCAGCACTTTACAGCCTCAGTCTTGGTAAATCCCACACCCATTCAAACTGGAGTAGCATGATGTTTGCAGCAGAAAGCTACAATAAAGTGAATCCATAACCAAATTTCTGCTAATCCAACACGTTTGCTCTCTGCTTCTTCCTGCTCATCATGGACAGGGTGAAAAAATGCCTCTCTCTGTTCATATAAAATTTATCCCTTCATTCAGTTCCTTAGTAGGGAACAACAGCAGAAAAGGGAATTAGTAAGTAAATGTGTTAACAAAAGGAAAACGGAAAGCTACGAATTAAATTTCTGGAATGGCACCCAAATTAACAGCAGGAGCATGTTCTGTTAGTCATCCCCAAGCATCATTTCCTCCAGGTTGTAACATATGGGTTCTGACTAAGGCTCTGAAAGTTATACAAGCGGGAGACTGGCTTTCACCTGAGCCTTCAGAAGATTTCCAAGATTAAAAAATGAGGTCAAGTTTCTTCCCTAATTCTTTGTGAGGGGCAAACAGACTTGGGAATCAACTCCATCCTCCCATCATGAAGAAAGGAGTTCTTACAAATAAGACCACACAAATTTTTCACATTCAGTGCCTAGGACTATGCAGGAGCAGGGTCTGGAGCACAGCCGTTGCCAACCAGAAAGTTGTGCTGCTTTGCAGTTTCACAGTTGTTTCTTTAATTTCCTCCTTTTTAAGTCTTGAATTTTCACTAGCAATAAAAAAAAAAAGGCAACTTTAAACACTTGGATATCTTACCTATACTTCTTGACCTAAGGACTAGTGCCCAGCTAGCCTATAAATACTGTTTTCTTTGGAGGAGTTGTGTTTGTTGGTTTTTTTTCCTTTAATGCTTAAATTGACATAGCTGCATTTACTGATGGCTATTTAATTTTGCCTCATTTTGGACAGATCAAGATCTGTCTGGTGAGACAAGCAGGAG